CACATCTAACAATGGAATATGGGAACTAGAATCATGATGTCACAAACCTTATCATCAGTAAACTTACTAAAAAGTTATAAACTTTCGCGAAATCTTGTAACTAATTAGTAACTTTACTAATTTTCGAGAAATAGACCCCATGACTGGTCATGGGTGTTTTTGAGTATCTCTGTGTTCATCTATATGTGTCATTATATGGAAGTTAAATGAAGTTGAAGCATCATGATTTTAAAGTAGACAAATGCATAATATTGATTAATTGTGCAACAAAATAACGTTTATTGTTCAGATCTTTATAGAACATTTTGAATCATCCATTTTGTTGCTTGGCAACAAGATCAATAAATGACTTCAAGCAATCAGAGCTTATCAGTGATGATAGATATATTGTTCATAGACCAGCGAAAAATGAGGGTCTACATATCACCCCCTGGTATGAGTGTGGACAATTTTTCGCAGCTCTGATGAAATGAGTGGACAAAGCCCAGCAAAATGGAGGTCTTAGAGGGAAGGTATGTTTATATTTCATATTTGAACACTTTGTAATGCCGATACTTGGTCAAATGTTTGGATGGTATGTCAATGAACACCTATAGTTTCGATGAACCCTAGACATGGTCAACTTATTTTGTAATTATTATGAAATTGAAAGTTAAATGCGACTCTACAACAATTTATGGGTTTATGCGCAATTTTTTGTTCTTACTAATAGTTTACGCTCATTTGGTTGTGGTTATAGCGAATTTACTTGCTAAGTGCGTTAGGAATATACGAAGAATATTGTTATTATAGTTAGCGAGGTATTAATACGATACCATTTTGCTGGGCTTTGTCCACACATTTCATCAGAGCTTCGAAATATTGTCCACACTCATACCAGGGGGTGCATATCTCTACATAAAGATATATTGAAGTTAAGGGCATCTCTGATCTCCTCTTATATGTCCAGTACCCATGGTACTATTTATAATTTGTATTGTTTATTAGCAACCAAGTTTGTTTTAACAACTTAATTAATAACAGAATTATATATAATAAATATAAAAACAAAACAAAAAAGGAAATAAAAAAGACATAGGATTATAATCATACTTACTGAGACCCTTTTCTTCCAGTGACATTGTACAGTCCTTAAATGGGACTGTACATGGATTGACATTTGAACCCGTTCCTTTCTTCTTGTATTGACAAACAAAATCTGAATTAACTCCAAGTCCATCAGGACAGCGGAACTTTTCATACTCCCCACGTTCGCATTGATAGAAGTAGCATTGTGGAGTTTGTGGTAATGTTGCATTGCAGGGATCGCTGTTATAGGTGATGGGGATATTCGGGTCACCCGCAGTATATTTTGCTGGACAATTGTCCTCTGACAAAATATTATGTACCGTATATAGTCAAATCTATGTTAAGTGGAAATGACACTCAGCACTGTGATGGCTTCTTCAATCAAGAATTAGATATATAAAATATTTGCAAACATACTAGTGTATTAATAATCAATCTATTGAAATTAGATAAAGGGGGAGAGAATGGAGGTGAAACTTTTCAGTTTTGTTGAATTTTCTTGCAGAAATTGCCTACTCCCCCTCCATCCATTTTGTCTGATCACTGGGCGTGAAACAGTTGATTTGCTAGAATAGACTAGATGCAAGAAGAAATAATCTTAATTTATGTCGTTAAATATTCAAAATTCACTCAAAGTGATGTCATATTTGAAAACTGCATGTAAAGGTACAACTAAAAACTAATTTCGAAAATTGATTTTCAACTTTGAAAATTTAATTTTTTTTGAAAATGTGACTTCTTGTTCGGGTTGATTCCCCATAGACCCCATGTTACAAAATCACAAAAATGAAATATCTTTTATTGTATTAGACAGATAACATTTTCTTTTACTGGACATATTTTAATTTGTATAACTATTAGATACATAAGGGTTATATGGAAATTGAACCACTAAAACAGATGTAATTTAAGTTAAAGTGAACGTTCTTCTATACGCGCCATGCTATCTGACCCGAGCGAGCCACCTGGTGGTGAAACTGGTAACTACCTACTCGCACCTACTTTATTGCCATATACATGTACATGTATTATACATATATACTGTATGTATAATGTAAGTAAATCCTTAAACAATGTATAATATTGCGATACTCAGTCAAAAGTTTGAGAAGCTTACTCAAAAAACATTTCATCATATAAAATAATTTCATACTTTGCCGTATTTCATCATTGGGGTCTTTTCCTTTTCGTGATTTTGGTCCAGATAATCTACACCATGCTGGAAAATAATGCTGGGGTTGTTAGATTAGGCCATTCAATAAAAAAAAGTGTGAAATATAGTAACCTAAATATTTGAATAAAACATACATGGATTGAAAATAACATTTGTTGTAGCTGTGAGATTTGGTACTTATTAAGATATATACCATCTGTTGGAAAAGGGATTCCTTTTAAAAGCCTTTGTAATGTTTGAAATTAAGTCTAATCATTCATAATATATTACTTTTTTTTTTTATCGTAAACCCTTTGAGACATTTTTTTGAAAAATTTGACTTGAAATTAAGTTCAACGATTCAATTTATGATTTTATGCTCAACTTTTATAATGCACACATTTGTATTTAAATACTTTTACATATATGTACATGTACTATAATATAAGTCAAAGTGGTTTAAACGGTATATAGGGCCTTAAAAGAATGTCTGCACAGCTGTGTTTTTTACTGGCTTGAAAACCTTAAAACAAGAACTATGTAATATAGCTTACATATTCTGAAATTCTAAAGTCTAATGTAAAATCACCTGTTCCAAGAAGCATGAGGAAGAAGACTGTGAAATACATCTCTGGGGAAGCTGCTAGACCCTAGTGATAGAAAAGCAAATTGACTTATACATGTTTTTAAAGGATCCAACAATTGCTTGATGCAAACTATAAACATTAAAAATCACCTTTGATTTGATGCTTTGTTATGAGATACTTAATAATTTATCAAATCGAATATAAACTGCATAGAACTGTTTATAAACTGTATAATACCGCCCTTTAGCAAATTAAGAATGCAAAGTTAAAGTGAATTCTTAGATCAAAGCTTGAGAGGAATGCAAAAACCTTTACTATGATTGATACTGCAGGCTATGAACACCACTATAACTGAAATTTATATTTGAACTGGGCACATTTGTGCTATTGCATCTTCACTGCCTTCTGATCAATTAGTGATTTTAGGACATATATCCCAACTAGCTAAAACAAATATCACAAAAAGATTTTAACAAAATAATAAGAACCTTTAAAATACAAGACTATTTGTTGTCATTTTGAAACTTTTAAGGAAAATCAATCCAGATGTGTTTATAGTTAGATCCTTACAAAGATGTTTTAAATCAGCGCAATCAAATGAATCTTAGAAACAGCCAATGCTTTGGAAAACGTTTCTTGGATAAATTTGCTACTGGATTTGATGTTTTGTTTTGTTAATTTTATTACTTACCTGCACTTGCCTAATGCTCTCTCTTTCCTTGTAGTGAGTTAATAAATGATTGCCTCGCAGTATTACACAATAAAAGAAAGGACCAATGCCATTTCTGCTTATAAAGCTCATCTTGATGAAATATGATGTATGATCAATTTTATGTTGCCATGACCCATCAAGATTGGTCATAAAATATCCTATTAAATGTTATTTTGCTATTAGACAGAATTGTCAACACACTGTTTGATTGGGTAGATCTAAGTTCGAACCAACTTCATAATTCTTAGTTCTTTCATTCTGATATTCATCAAATTTTCTAGTTTTTTCATGTCCCTTATGGCTACATTCTGATCAGTTTGTCGAGTAATTTGAAATTTTCAAGCATGTTTTTGGTTTGAAATTTCAGAACTGATTAGTCATTAGTCATGCTTGGCATTATCAAAACAATGATATCTTCAACAAAAGACAGGAGCATAAATGGTAAAATTCTCACAATGTTTTGGGCTATATAGGGTCTGTTTTTCTTGACTGGTATACACTTAAAGGGTGACGCATATCGTTTAGCAAATCGAATGCTCTTTTCTGGTGTTGCTCACCGTTTAGTATAAAAGGCCCGATCCCGGAATAATACTCAAGGGTTCACAGGTTCAAGGTCGTTGTGTCAACACCTCTAACTGTTATATAGCATAAGTATATTATAGATCGTCACACATTTATAAAAGGGTGATTTTTATTTTGACAAATCAATTCCACATTTATGGGTGAAGTTTCAGGATCTTCTATTTGTGTATAATAAGGAAAAATTGGCATCTAAATTTCCCCATAACGTAATAGCACACAGCTTGGCATATGAAATATCCTACAAATGAAACAAAGCAAGACAAACCGGTTTCTAATACAAGGATTTATATTGGCTGTTGTACATGTATTCTTTGAACGCAATCACTCTTTGGATAACGTTTTCAAAATCATTATAAACGGATTACTTTATCTCAAAGACAATTTCAATAAACTGGATTTTACAGAACTCCCCTTCTTTCTTAAAAATGAACTGATCCAGTTGATTCGCCTGGAGCCGCCATATTGTTTTTATACGGGATGCTAATCGGAACCCTTTAAGAGTTTGCTTTTTCTTGCTAAGTTCCATTACAACTTTTGGTCCTTTCCCTTTGGCACTTGTGCTTATATATTCAATTGGATAACAATGATTAATAATTCATGAAACAGTTCCTGTCATGATTTAATTTTTGTCAAATATCTGGGATTATTGAAAAACCTTTCAAATTCTGTTGATTCATAAATGGAATTTTGATGCCAATTTTTTGTGCAGAACTACCTTAATAATAAACATATTTTTCTTATTTGTTATAAGATTCGGACAAAATTTTGAAGGCTTATTTTGCAAACATTTTTTTAATCTCAATTCTCAAAGTGTCTGAATGAATGGTTTGATCGCTATTTGGAAATGTGTACCATTGAAATGTCTTAATTGTGCCCAGGAGTCATTACACAACATCTATTGTTTATTTCATTATCACAAACTTTATTGCCTAATATTGACATACAAGATTCATCACAAAGTACATAGTGCACCTTTCATGTCCAAGTTGATCATGTGCAAATGTTATAATTAACTTCAACATAATTGAAGCATCTTCAGAAGTGATTTACACTTTTTCACATGATTTTCTTGTAATATCATAAATTCTTTCATACAGTTTGTCAAATGTTTCCACAAAGAGGCAGTCAGGATCAGCTAATCTACTCCACTCACTGCTACCATCAATGCCTCTATTTCCAAGTTCTTTTTGCCTGAAATAACCATAAAAATACATTCTTAATAAACGGCTGATATAAAATATAGTACAGTTGGATACGTAAATCCTCTGTAATGTAGACAATGAGACAATGTTCATATGAAATATAAGAGGTCTATGGAATAACTGAATCTCATGGATTGATTTTCGTCATATTTGGCAGACAGATTCATACAGTAATATTAAATAGTCTCTGCCTTGAAAATGACTGGAAAGTTTTGATTTTATGCTTTGAGTGAGCTATTGTTGAATACAAGAAAACTATATATTTGATACAGGCAGATATACCTTGGAATTGCTAACCTTGTTAAATCTCTAGTATAAAAGTATTTCAGAATATTTTTCTAATAATCTGACAACTTGATCAAGCAGGTTTTGCATTTTATTTTTCCAAAATCACCTATGTATGGGTGTCTATCCTTTGCATTGTTTTGAGATTTCTTCAAATTATGGCTAAATAATAAAATATAGTAAAACCTGTCCTAGTGAATATCTCTCTCTAGTGGACAACCTTCCTTCACACATACTCTACTGACTTCTGTATATATTACCTTCTCTGTAGTGAACACCTCCAACACTGATCATTTTTTCTTGCCAAAATGTTCAATATACACAGGTTTTACTGTACTTGAAAATTTTGAGATATCAAAAATGTATGCCTTTATCACATAGAAATCAAAGGTATTTAAATAGTAGATTGCAAATATTTCATTGTGAAGTATTTCTTATTATGAAAACTGATTTTGATATACATGTATCAGTAAATTACTACTTACCTAATATTGTCTAGACCTATTACACATCGTCTCACATTTGGGTACTCTTCTTTGAATTTATCAATTTGTGCTAGGGTGTCATTTACTCGATTTGGGGGATTCGTAAATCCATCAGACATCATTAAGAAGATTCCCTGCAATTAGGTAACATTTTGTGATGTGAAACACTTTACTAGATTGCAGCAACCATATTTTGTGGAAAAATCAAGAATTCAATGAGGGTCCTAACCTTGTCTAGTGTATTTCCTTTAATATTGATAATAAGGAGTCATACCTTTTTGTTTTTTCTTCTTCCATTTGCCTCAGTAAAGTAAACATTTCTAGCTTGTTCTATAGCATCATATGTTGCAGTTCCACAGGGTTTGCCATCAATAGAATATTTCTCAAAACGTTCAATCACCTAAAGGAATAAGAATCTGTCCATGTAACATACTACTTTTGGTAGATGATTTCGTATTGATAGCTAACTCTAAATCTGGGGCACAATCTATGCTAGACTCTCTCTTTGATTTTTTTCTAAAACTATCATCTTGTTGTCAACACAGTTAAAACAAAAGCTATTATTTTTACACTAAATCAGGTGAAACTTTTAAATTCAATATTGAAGTGATTGCATGTGTTGAAGATTACAAATATCTAGGGTGTATTTTCAACAGGAAAAATAATTTTGTTCATATTTTTTGTACATACATACCCTATGGGGGTAGAAGTTCTGCTCGAAAGCAGATTATCAAAATGGCTTTCATTTAAAAATGGTGGCCATTTTAGTGCCGATTTTAAAGTGAATTAGGTTCAATATGTAGAATTGTAATAGCAATATGTTTCAAATATAAAAAGGTTATATAGGACATTAATTTAGCTAGAAATGTAGATATCAAAGAAGCACATGGCAGCCATCTTGAAGAATGGTGGCCTTTACAGGCTATTTTACGATTGTTGCTGTAACTCGAAAAGTAATGGAGCGATTTTGTTCATATTTGGTATTTGAATACTATTGGCATGGCACACTGTCTAGTGACACTTTTGAATAATGGCCACCAAAAACTGTAACTCGAAAAGTAGTGGAGCAATTTTGTTCATATTTGATATGTGAATACTACAAGCATGGCACACTGTCTTTTGACATTTTGGCAACTAGGCGGTCATTTTGAAAAATGGCTGCTATTGACATGTACCTGTGTGCGTTTTGTTGAAAGTTTATATGTGCCTACTTAGAATCATATTACATTTTCTGATGACAATTTGGCTATAGTGAGCTATATTCTTTGTTTGTAAAAATGCCAGCCACGGCTGTTCGATGGGATTTACTACGCTTTGGCGTTGCTGTTGTCTAGTTGGGATTTGGCCAAGTAGTATTGGACTTTTTTTAGTCAAAGTGATACTTTACCTCTTTTTTAATATTGAATTCATTCAAGAATGTTATATGTTTCAACTCCTTTGAGAATGTGTATCCAGCAACTTGTGTTTGTCCTGGTTTTATTGGTAGCTTCTTCAATACTCTAGTTATAAACTGTTTCATTATAATTTTGTCGACAGATTCAACAGAACAGCTGACATCAACAGCAATTACAAGGTCAATTCCACATACATCAATTTCCCGGTCATCTGTAAATTATCAAATTTCCATGAAACATAATGTTTTAATGAAATCTAGTGTCTACATTAATCAGAACAATAAAATACATACATACATAATAGTAGAATTGTCTGATCTGAACACCACCAGGGGTTTATTTCTCGAAAGTTTGTATTTTTGCGAATACTAGCAACTTTTTTCTCATAGTTACTAAACAACGACGTCAAGTGTGATTTTTATCATAACTTTAGGTACACCTCTGCAAGTCTTGTAAGTCTTCCCTAAGTCTCTTTGACTTACTTACTTTTGTTGATAACAGTTATGGACTATATTCTCACATGCTAAGATGACTCTCGCATTTATATAGTTTTGTTGGAACTGCATCATCAGTAAACTTACGAAAAAGTTATAAACTTTCGCGAAACCTCGTAACTAATTAGTAACTTTACTAATTTTCGAGAAATAGACCCCATGACTGGTCATGGGTGTTTTTGAGTATCACCTTGTTCATATATCAATGTGTCATAATATGGAAGTTAAATGAAGTTGAAGCATCATGATTTTAAAGTAGACAAATGCATAATATTGATTAACTGTGCAACAAAATAACGTTTATTGTTCAGATCTTTATAGAACATTTTGATTCATCCATTTTGTTGCTTGGCAACAAGATCAATAAATGACTTCAAGCAATCAGAGCTTATCAGTGATGATAGATGTGTTGTTCATAGACCTGCGAAAAATGAGGGTCTACATATCACCCCCTGGTTTGAGTGTGGACAATTTTTCGAAGCTCTGATGAAATGTGTGGACAAAGCCCAGCAAAATGAAGGTCTTAGAGGGAAGGTATGTTTATATTTCATATTTGAACACTTTGTAATGCCAAATGTTTGGACGGTATGTCAATGAACACCTATAGTTTCCATGAACCCTAGACATGGTCAACTTATTTTGTAATTATTATGAAATTGAAAGTTAAATGCGACTCTTCAAAAAATTTGAGATAATTTTCGGTATGTTTTGGAATTCTCCTTCTTTCCTAGTGTTTAAGGAAAGTAAAGAGCTCCCAGGAACGTCCCATGATGGTACCTGTAATAACCCATCGCTTATATTCCCAAATACATGTATATGTAACTGTTGGAATTTTTGAGTGATTTGTCTATATTTTTCGCGTATGGACAATGTTGTGATATAATCATGTGCAAGCGCATCCATATATAAATCATACATCTCAGCAGCAGTGATTTTACGAAAGGTCCTCACATCGAGGGGTGGTATTTTGACACACAATTAGGATATAATATGTTCATATTTAGGGATGAGGACGCACAGATAATGTTTGGCATACTTTTAAATTCCTTTTACTTTTCTATATAAGTTTTTAGACATGCTGTATGAAAATTCAATAAAATTAATTTATGATATCTGTGTGAACTTTATCCTTTGAAATCTCCAAAATAACATGTACAAGACTGTGTATTATGTTAGTTTATCAAGGGAATATAACCCGGAATTATAATCTTTAAAATTAAATCACCATGGATGTCATGTCAAAAACATCTGATATTTGTCACCCAAAACACAAAGGAGGTAATCATGCACAAATGCCGACGTGGCTTCAACAATGACCTTAGTACCAATGAGTTTTCATTCATGGAAAATAATGAGATAAGATTAGAGGTAGGTTGATTATCATAAATATATTCAACGATTGAATACTACATAGGGACATGTATCCATGATCAATTTAACTTTTCAAGTAGTTTTCGACAGCAATATTCAGATTTGGCTCAAGAATAACTTGGATTTATGGCCCGTCAAAACTGCCATGGTGACATGACTTAAAAAACTACACAAAAATAACAACATTTCAGATGAACAGTTCCTCTTCGAAATAGTTTTGCGGGGAAATTGTCTAGCTTTGTAGTAAAAATATCACAATCTAGTTGTATCGTGAGTTTTGCTAAATACTAGCTAAGAACATATTATGATTGCCATTTTATTACATCTTTAACCGACGATTCAATTGATAGCCCTGTGGACAGCAAACATGGGTTGAAAATGTTTAAAATCATTGCTATTCATACGTTCTTGCATACTATTATTAACAAGACCAAGGTAATATTGCATCCCTACATTGTCCACACGAATAAATGCGTTAAAAAATTATATTAGTTGGACTTTAAAATGTTTGAAGGGATATAACTTAATAATTTCAAATGTTAGTGATGTATGATGCTAAGCTTTACACATCTTACGAATATCTAACTAAAGCATATGTGAGATAATCCTACGAGCAGTGAAAACATTCTGAATTTTCAAAAACTAACATGGTTTTGTAACTTTAACTTACAAGATATCAACAATTTATTGGTTTATGCGCAATTTTTTGTTCTTACTAATAGTTTACTCTCATTTGGTTGTGGTTATAGCGAATTTACTTGCTAAGTGCGTTAGGAATATACGAAGAATATTGTTATTATAATTAGCGAGGTATTAATACGATACCATTTTGCTGGGCTTTGTCCACACATTTCATCAGAGCTTCGAAATATTGTCCACACTCATACCAGGGGGTGCATATCTCTACATAAAGATATATTGAAGTTAAGGGCATCTCTGATCTCCTCTTATATGTCCAGTACCCATGGTACTATTTATAATTTGTATTGTTTAATTAGCAACCAAGTTTGTTTTAACAACTTAATTATAACAGAATTATATATAATAAATATAAAAACAAAACAAAATAGGAAATAAAAAAGACATAGGATTATAATCATACTTACTGAGACCCTTTTCTTCCAGTGACATTGTACAGTCCTTAAATGGGACTGTACATGGATTGACATTTGAACCCGTTCCTTTCTTCTTGTATTGACAAACAAAATCTGAACTAACTCCAAGTCCATCAGGACAGCGGAACTTTTCATACTCCCCACGTTCGCATTGATAGAAGTAGCATTGTGGAGTTTGTGGTAATGTAGCATTGCAGGGATCGATGTCATAGGTGATGGGGACATTAGGGTCACCCGCAATATATGTTGTTGGACAATATCCCTCTGACAAAATATTATGTACAGTATACTGTATAGTAAAATCTATGTTAAGTGGAATTGCCACTCAGCACTGTGATGGCTTCTTCAATCAAGAATTAGATATATAAAATATTTGCAAACATACAAGTATATTAATAATATTCCAATCAATATGTTATCTTACTCTATTGAAATTAGATAAAGGGGGAGTGAATGGAGGTGAAATTTTTCAGTTTTGTTGAATTTTCTTGCAGAAATTACCTACTCCCCCTCTATCCATTTTGTCTGATCTATGGGCATGAAACATATGATTTGCTAGGATTGTAATATGCATGTATTATACATATATACTGTATGTATAATGTATGTAAATCCTTAAACAGTGTATAATATCTTGATACTCAGTCAAAAGTTTGAGAAACTTACTCAAAAAAAATATTTCATCGTATAATATAATTTCATACTTAGCCGTATATCATCATTGGCATCTTTTCCTTTTCGTCCTTTTGGTCCAGATAATCTACACCATGCTGGAAAATAATGTTGGGGTTGTTAGATTAGGCCATTCAATTAAAAAAGTAACCTAAATATTTGAATAAAACATACATGGATTGAAAATAACATTTGTTGTAGCTGTGAGATTTGGTACTTATTAAGATATATACCATCTGTTGGAAAAGGGATTCCTTTTAAAAGCCTGTGTAATGTTTGAAATTAAGTCTAATCATTCATAATATATTACTTTTTTTTTTTCGTAAACCCTTTGAGACATTTTTTTGAAAAATTTGACTTTTGAAATTAAGTCAACGATTTAATTTATGATTTTATGCTCAACTTTTATAAAGCATATTTAAATACTTTACATATATGAACATGTACTATAATATAAGCCAAAGTGGTTTAAACGTTATATAGAGCCTTAAAAGAATGTCTGCACAGCTGTGTTTTTTTACTGGTTTGAAAACCTTAAAACGAGAATTATGTAATATAGTTTACATATTCTGAAATTCTAAAGTCTAATGTAAAATCACCTGTTCCAAGAAGCATGAGGAAGAAGACTGTGAAATACATCTCTGGGGAAGCTGCTAGACCCTAGTGATAGAAAAGCAAATTGACTTATACATGTTTTTAAAGGATCTAACAATTGCTTGATGCAAACTATAAACATTAAAAATCACCTTTGATTTGATGCTTTGTTATGTGATAATTAATATTTTATCAAATCTAATATAAACTGCATAGAACTGTTTATAAACTGCATAAAACACCTCTTTTTCTCAAATTAAAAATGCAAAGTTAAAGTTAAATCTCAGATCAAAGCTTGCCCAACTAGCTAGAACAAATATCACAAAAAAGGTTTTAACATGAAAAGAACCTTTAAACTATTGGACTTATTTAGTGTCATTTTGAAGAAAAATATGCTTAAATGTGTTTATAGTTAGATCCTTACAAAGATGTTTTAATTCAAAGCAATCAAATGATTAGAAACAGCCAGTGGTATGGAAAAACATTTCTTGGTTGAATTTTTGGGATTTGATGTGCTTCATTGTTAATTTATCTTTTTGTCAATTTTTTTACTTACCTATATGCTCTCTCTTTTCTTATAGTTTCAGTCAATAAATGATTGCCTTGCTGTATAACCCAATAAAAGAAAGGACCAATGCCATTTCTGCTTATAAAGCTAATCTTGATGAAATATGATGTATGATCAATTTTATGTTGTCATGTCCCATCAAGATTGGTCATAAAACATCCTATGAAATATTATTTTGCTATTAGACAGAATCAACACACTGTTTGATTGGGTAAATCGAAGTTCAAACCAACTTCATAATTCTTAGTTCTTTCATTCTGACATGCATCAGATTTTCTAGATGTTTCATGTCCCTTATGGCTATATTCTGATCAGTTTGTCGATTAATTTGAAATTTTCAAGCATGTTTTTGGTTTGAAATTTCAGAACTGATTAGTCATTAGTCATGCTTGGCATTATCAAAACAATGCTCTTATTGGATAACAATGATTAATAATTCATGAAACAGTTCCTTTCATGATTTAATATTTGTCAAATATTTCAAATTCTGTTGATTCGTAAATTGAATTTTGATGGCAATTTTTTGTGCAGAACTAGCTACCTTAATAATAAAGATATTTCGACTATGAACTATGATAGGTATTCTAGCATGCAAATATCTAATTTAAAAATATTACGCTAATCATAGGTAATTATGATTATGAGATATACAGAAAAATACCATAATACCAAGATTTCTCCAGACCAAAGTGAATCCCATACAGCATGCAATAGTGATTAAGAAATGGAAAAAACAGTGTAAGTCTCCATTTTTACTGACAGCCATCACTATTTGGAATTTGAGGTTCAATTTCAGCGTTTCTAACAAAATGTTACACTTTTGTAATTGCAACCATTTGGTGATTTGCTAATGATGTGTAATGAAGCTATACTAATTTTATATTAAAGTATTCATTTATTGTACACAATGTATAGAAGGATGGTAGATTACAGTGTTTCGCAAGATTTACGAATGATAGTGTTCATAATATCTTTTAATTCATCAAATGTTTTTAGGTAGAAAACATTTTCTGGTTTGCTTGCAATAGCCACCCATTCCTCTGTTCCTTCTAGTCCCTCGCGTTTTATATTTGGTAGACCAATCACAAATGTTTCAAGACCAGGAATCTTGTGTAGAAGCTCAGCTTGATGAAATGTTTCATTCTGGCGAGATGCTGGATGAGTGAAACCATCAGTGACCATCAGAAGAACAGCCTGTAAGATGAAGGAATAAATATTTTATGTTGGTACTGTACTGGTAATTGCAAGCAGATGGAGTTATTTTCTCATATTCATTACATATTTTTGATTCTGAACTCTCACTGACCTTTTTGTCTTCACGTCTTCCTTTGTCTGTGCTGAGGTAAATGGTTCTGGCAGTTTCTAGAGCATCATATGTAGCTGTTCCACACGATTCTGGCACGACTGTATAGTTCTTGAACTTTTGCCGAGTCTAAAAATGGTCGTATTCTCATGGACATTTTAAGTCTATGATACTTCTACAAGGAGGATTGGCTCCCAGAGTGCAACATCCATATTCTGTCCCATATATGGGCATGTCGTGATACAAAATTTGAATTCAAATTGTTCACTTTAATATTAGAATCTTGAATTTTGGGCTTATTTCCTGGGAACAAATCCTCTTTGATATTTCTATAAATTTTTAACTGAGATAATGGAAAGAAGAAATTGGATACATATGTCCCCAAAGCGCAGTTTTGCTTTACATGGAAAAAAACGAAAATTTTGAAATCTTACAATTGTTGGATTTTTATATTGTCCCAAATATCCAATATGTGCGATGTCTCTGGAGAATGTCAGGCCACCGACTTGCATAAATCCAGGTCTAATAGGCAGCTTTCTCATAACACCTCGTATGAAACTCTTTACTTTGAGTTTATCTCCAAGTTCTATTGAACAGCTGATATCTATGGTCCATATAACATCTATGCCACAGATTTCTGTATTAAGGTCCCCTGAAATTACAATTGAAATTGTAGTTATACTTTCTTCAGCCAGCTTATGGTAAAAAAAGATGTGAGATCTTAGTCAGCTAGTTGCTTTGGTACTTGGTATTCACTGTATAGTATCTTTTTGCACTTTAAAAAAGTGCTACCAGTATATTGTATTGTCTTGTGCTGCTGGACATACATCTTGATGGGTGAGGATTCAGGTGAGTGGGTGCAATATAATTCCAGGAAAATGCATCCTCCCAATGCAGTGCTCCATACATCATCCACTTCATTGGAAGGAGGTATGAGTTCTGGAGGCCTGTGTTCGGAGGATGAGAAAATGGTTTATCTATAGAAATTTTAAAAGTACAAGAGCAAACTAGTTCCTCGAGATCCAATTTGGCTTTGGGCATGCTGGGTTAATTTCATTGTGGCCATTTTGCTCATCAGTGCAATATTTATTACTGTGTGTCTTTGTTCTTTTTTGTAGAAAATAGATTGTAGCATTTTTTTGGCTGAGAATGTTTTGAAAAGGCTTAATCCAAGAAAAGAAAGGCAGAAAAAGTTACATAAATAAATATAATGCTTCACTTACATACTCCTTTTTCTTCAAGTGTTAATTTACACCTTTGGGAATATACAGTACATGGTTGTGACATTTGACCTTTGTTACGTTTGGTCCAAATATTTTTGAATCTATTGTCCACACGCAAGCCATCAGGGCATCTCTCCCTTGTATAGTTCCCCTGCTTACAACTGCAGTTCAAATGTATTTTTCAAATAAACATACATTTCAACAAATACTTGTACATGTTTATATAAAGTTCAATGCCAATTTCTATTGTAGAAAATGGATTTCATAAATCTATCATATTATATATTTCTCGTGTTTTTCCTTATGTTTTATCAGTTTTAATTTTTAAAAAGCTACTAGTGTAAGTGTACATGAGCACTTATCACCAGGTAATATATTTGGCATTTCAAGGCTCGGGTTTCAAATGACTTTGTGGAACGTGATGTCACCATGTTGGAGGGTATTCATTTTATATTAAAAAATGAAGAAATATTTATTTGATAGTTTAATAGCTGCCTTACTGATTCTATAGCTTTGAACTACTTTGAAATAAATTGTTATGATTCTATCAATTTTATATCTTATTGACAGATATGATTAATAGCAGAGACTTATTTACCTCAAAAGAATAAACTTACCTATAGTAGTGACAGTCATCTAATAGATTGTTGTGGGGAGAACCATGTGTAAACCTGCTTGGGCAGCCATCATCAACTGTATTATATAACATAAAACATTACGCTTTTATAAACCAACAGAGAACATTCTTGAAGATATTTCTATGCAGAAAAAGACTGTCCCTAGATTCCAGCTTGCTTCAGTGAATATGCTATTTTATTGCTTTCCTAAACCACATTGGCGGGTGCTCCCTGTAGAGAGTTTTATTCCATTGTACTCATTGTGGAGTTCATCTCTGAGAAACTTGATCATATTTGGGACTGGGAGGTTTCTCTTCATCAGAGTCTTAAAGTGTTGGAAATGTTAAGTGTTCAAACATACCTAGTACTGGGGGAAGTCTTATGTTTTTCTCCACCTTTGCCTTTAGACCTTTTGGAAGAATATCTAGCAGGCTCCCGTTTGCTAAAAGAAAATTAAAACTTCAAACATAAATAATTTCTTTTACAGGGTGAGTGAAAATGTTTTTGTCTTATAACTTATTTATAAACAATCCCATCAGGACAAGAAAAGGGCAGTATAGCACTCTGAAAAAATGCAATAACATTAATATGAAGAAAATAACTTGTTAAATTATGCAGAATGTATCCTTGCAATATTTCAGAAGTATGCATGACAGCTTAAAACTTAAGACATAATGTGGAAATTGGTGAAAAAAATCCCCAAATCTATATGGCAACTAGTCAAGTCTAATTTATTTATCTTTGCCATAATAATTCTTATCTGAAACAATTGAAGAAATGTTTTGTGTAAATGATTACTTTTAATCCTTGGATTGTCTTTTTATTCATATTATTGATGAAATGTTGAATGATGTAATTTTGAATGAATAAATTGAATTGAATTGAAAAAAATTGAAAAAACCATCAATTTAAAAAATACATTTATTTTAATATTTGTAATTGCATTGAAGATGTTTATGCTCTTAAAGATATGCTATACAGATATGTAGGTCAGTATTACATAATCGTGAAATGAATAAGTCTGAATATATCATTGGTCAGAAAACACTAAAACCTGCTTGAAACTGTAAACGTTCATACACTCTATTCCACACTGTATAGAAATAAAATAACTCACACTATAAGTAACTGTGAGCCAATCATTGCATAGAAAAAACTTTATGCACTGTTTATAAGATTCACTGAGACAAGTGGGTCAATACTTCGTGTACTTTATGTGCTCTCACACAATTACCTTCCCTTGCATAAAGTTGCTGTACAGTTATATGTAAATGAATATTGTATATTCATCACAAACAACCTTAGCAAAATGATGGTTCGACGAAATGGACAGTTCACTAAAACCAATAAACCAGGCAATCCAGGCCAATTTGGAAAGAAACTAGATGGCGGGATAGCGAATGAGGATAGTAAGTGAAATATATTTTGCAAAGGTCAGCTTGTAAACTACTGGGTAACCCTAAATGATGAGAAATATGTACAAAATATGTTTTGCATGATTTATTCATATCCCAATGATTTAACTCCTTCACTGCATCTAATAAGGTATATAGATACAAATTACGGGACATTTAGGAATTAAGTGACTAGACCAAAGCAATCATGTTTGAGATTTTAATGATTTTAAATAAATTACCACTAACTTCATTATTTGCTTTTAGACATTCAATCAGTTTTATTTGTCCAACAAACCATATTCACAATTGTTCAATCCAACGAAGATTAGGGGATAAGCTATAGAGACCCCTCCATTTGTCCGTCCATCCATCCTTCAACTAGACAACAGCAACACCAAAGTGTAGCAAATCCAATCGAACAGCCATGGCTGGCATTTTTACAAACAAAGTATACAGCAAAAATGGCAGCCATTTTTCAAAATGGCCACCTTCTACCAAAAGTGTCATTAGACAGTGTGCCACGCTTATAGTATTCACGCATCAAATATGAACAAAATCGCTCTACTAATTTTCGAGTTAGAGTAAAATATGTTAAAATGACGGCCATTTTTCAAAATGACTGCCTTCTACCAAAAGTGTCATTAGACAGTGTGCCATGCTTATAGTATTCACATACCAAATATGAACAAAATCTCTCCACTACTTTTCGTGTTATAGTAAAATAAGTTAAAATGGCCGCCTTCTACCAGAAGAGTCATAAGACAGTGTGCCATGCTTATAGTATTCATATACCAAATATGAACAAAATTGCTCAACTACTTTTCGAGTTACAGCAAAATTCGGACTACCATGCACCCTCGTTCATAGTCTAGAATCAGGACATATGTTAAATTTAATCATCTACAATGCATTGAGTCATTGGCTTAAATCCTATAATATAATATGCCTATCAATATAATATGTAATTATTTAAGTATCATCTCAATGCTTTAATTTTAATAGAATTATTTTAATATTTTACTAACTGTATTATATGTAGTTTGCATTACTATTGATAAATAAATAAATGATTGCACTGTTCAGCAAAGAAATATAGCAATTGTATTATTTAAACTGACTATACACTATAGAAATGATTTTCATTGAAAAATCAAATCAGTACCAAAATTATGGTTACCCTGTAGTAGTGAAAGGCACATTAAAAATGAATATCACCCCCTTCAATCTATTTTTACAGGTTTTTATGATTATTTCAGAATTTTCTATAGTTTGCGTAACCAGGACGGTGAATTTTCTTCATTTTTCATCAAACATCTTGTCTTACCAATATTTATTATATCTGTCAATTTTATCAAAATCGCGCCGCTACGTTTGAAAATAATTCAAATTATGTAGTTTTTCCCATTGAGCTCCATTATAAAAATGGAATTTTCAAACTTAATATTTTAAAATTCTACGTGGTGAAAAGTTGCATATTGAGTAGTTAGTTAATGTTATGGTGTTAAAAATTCAAAACAAAAAGGAATAAAGAAAAAATGCCACAGAGAAGTCTCAATAGAGTCTCTTTAAGTAAATACTTTAGGAAGTCAATATAAAATTTCAAATTATATTCAATTTAATTATTAAACCATCACCTGATCATTGGATTAGGCATAACAATACAATAAACAATATTAATGCTTGCATAGAGTTTCAGATAATAATAATAAGAAATAAAGATTTAGAGACATTTTATGGATATTTATGGATACACTCTCTTAAGTTTATTTGAGAATATAGCAAATGGTCTGTAAAGACATCCTAAAGTAATAAGTATTTGTAATTCTGTCTCATAAAGAAAATTCTATATACAGAGTAAACACTTTAATGATTTATCATATACTTACTTAGAGAAAATACTGCTATGATTGCTAATAAATCTACCAGGAAACAACACATTGTACTTTATAGATGATGACAAAATTGTCGATGTCTGAAATTGAAAAAGAATTTTGTTTAAATATCATCATTATTATTATGATGTATGTTTTTGTTTTTAATAAAAACCCAGTTGATATATAAATATTTTATATCATGCAAATATATGAGCCCCAGGATACAGTAGGACACAATGTTGAATTTGAATCTGGAAATATCACTCAATGTGAACTGTTTGCTGGATGGTGCTTTCTTGAACTTGACATTGTTGTAGAACATATATAAGTTATGAAATGAGAGATACCGACAATTTTTTAATTCCCTGATTTTAAACAACTACATTGCATTTCAAGTACTGTAGTTGCTTACAATCTTGGAATTGTGAGTTTGCATGGTGAAATATTTGGCAGTTGGATTCTATATAGTCTAGATGAAGGGTATTGATATTGAATGAATTCCATCCTCCATTTGCGATGAGATAAACTCAGATTGGAGTCATCTAGTAATGAAATTGAAAGTTAAATCAATATGTCCCATAACTTGATTTTATAGTTAAATGTTAGTAACTCACTCTCCAAAAAAGAAGACAAACTTTAAAAAGTATAAGAATTCTCTTCCAGATATAATGTCTACATTGCTATTATCATAATTTTTCAATCTACCAATTCTCATATTTGTTTTATAAGAAAATATGTACAACTTACCAATTATTTAATTCAGCAGTATTCAAACCTGACTACTTGTATTTTCTTTCAATTTTACAAGATCTTTCCCTAATTGCTCACTCTGATGGAATTCTTGAACTATTATATACATAAATATGAATATAATTATCATCCACGTTTTGCTCCCAAATAGACATCATAATTATTTAATTAACGATGAAATATTAATTTAATAATTTGACTTTTAATAATTTCTTGATAACATCCTGAATGTCTGGATTTACCAATAGAATAATGAAAGGAAACGGAACTAATTACCAGATATCGCCACGCAATAGTTCAACTTTTTGAGTTATTTTTGAAAGAAGTGCGTAAGGTTAAAGTGTAAGTGGGTTAATTATAATGAACATTAAGGCCATGGAGAGACATTTATTTCTAATCCTAAACATGTAAGATTTTTCTATTTATAGTTACCTCAAACATTTCTCATATATGTACATGAATTATCTGATTCCTTTACCACATGTATTGTATGTAGACTTACTATATAAATTATATGTATTAGGTAGTTTATTATAATATTTATGTAATCAATCAATCAATCAATTTATTTACATGTATTTAGCATAGTGATATGAATGGTGAATTAATTAGAATTATTAAATTATTACACAAGAGTTGAGATTTGAATTTTGTCAAATGGATACAAATATACTTTTCCAGGTTTTCTTGAAATTTGCGAAGGAAGAGTCAATGTTTGATGTTCTCATGGAAACATAAGATTTCCGGAAGTCATATTTAATCACTTTTGTAATCTCATTTATATGCAATTTGTAATCCTTTTTTATTATTATTAAATGGACCATATCTCCTTAGTAACGGAAGTGTCAATATATCATGATCTTTTGAGATGCTGATAATTAACTGTCTATTTCTATGTTCAGGTTTAGGTTTTGTATGTCTGCCATGTTTTCTTACATGGTATAGCCAGAGTTATAGTGAAACTCAGGTAACTGCCTACAGGCACCTCACCAATTGATTTCCATCAAATCCACCAGTATTGTATGTGTACTGTCATCTGTATTGTGATCTTATGTAATTGCAGCTCTATCCACTCCTGCCTGCTGATGCGCCACCTTTTACAGAATGTCATTGACCAAGTGAAGTGCCCTGCTGAACTAACCAAGGCAGCACATCAAGCTGGTGGAGGAATATATGGTCTAACAGCAGCAGTAGCCTGTATGTATAGCAGTCCATATATACACACTTACAGGCACACATATTCTATTTGGCTTTTAGAGACAAGTTGATCGCAGCTTTCTAATAAATTATCAAAACTTTTCAGTATATTTGCTCTCAGCATTTCATGTCGTGCCTGTTTTCTAAAAAAGTTCAAAATTGACATTATTTTAGGATGATCCATTGATTTTTGGCAAAAGTTCAATTCGAAGAAAATATGGGAATTTTTCATCTTAAATATTCCTTTTAAAACTTTAGAAAATGAAATTAATGACTATATCGTAAACATAGGCAAGCTTGTAGGTAAATGTTTTATTTTTATATTTCAGCGGGTTTGTGGTCTGTTATGACTTTGGGCATGGCAAGTAAATCAGCGGCACAGGAAGAAGTTGAAAGTGGAGCCCTGTTAGCCAATCAGAGTCTGTTGTTCATTCTAGTCTTAACCAATCATTGTACAAATGAAAGAGGACTTTCAAATCCTTATCGAGAATCCTTATTCTCATTTATGAATTCACAGAGTAAGTAAAATTGCAGCTGATTCAGTGGTGCATTTATCTTTTCATGTAAAAAGAACAGTATTACCAATAATGCTAACATAGTGGTTTGTAGGGAGCCACTTCAACTGCAATTAGTTACAAAACCAAATTTTCATGACTTAGTTTCAGGATAATGAATCTAAATACAGGTTGAACCAAAAAAGGTGACCCAAACTTATGTTAATAACTCAGACATTCTACAAAACAACTCATACTGGTGGACTGAGTGTAGTATACTATAGATATAATCACAGTGGATACCCTATAGAAATCAATAGTATCTGTGCTACATTATTAAATCACTGTGTGGTTTTGTTGATTTCTGATGAAACTTTGCATTGCAGGTTAAACTGAATATATTGTGTTTGTGAAGACAGTTTTAAAATTGTAAATATTTGCGATCACCTATTTTCCAGTCAGTGACATATGGAAATCGTTCTTCTCTTTTTACTGCTTCGATTAATTGCTGTCGATATAAATCCAGAATAAACAAAATAATTCTTCCAGATTTGCAATGAGCTATAGTTAGATATGTTTCATGACTTCAAGAGTTAGATTGTCATTTATCATAATAGATTCTAGAATGATATTGTGTATTGTTATGAAGCTAAGAATAAGTTAAGAATTTCTTGAATTGTTTGCTAATGCGTCATTTCCTTGTGCTTTTTGTGGGAGGATGTTAATAACAGATGTATATGATGCAATATATTATATTATTCTTTTAATAACTTAGTAGAATTCTATAAAGAACCTCATTGTGCTATTAAGGTTATGTGAGGGGTGATCAATATATTTTTTATAAGAAAGGAATGTTCTTTTGTCCATATGGATTTTGGCTTGTAATTGTATATGAGATTTATCTCTTCAATTTGGTAACCAGAAGTGCTGATCCAATCATCCTCATTCATTCTAATCTTAATATTTTGGGAAGGTGCATGTACAGTAATCACATGTATCAATCACTTTCAAAAGTTTCAAGAATGATGTCTATTTTAGTGATATCTGTAATTGTGTTAAAAATTGATCAACCTTCCCAAGAACAACAGCAATAATAATTTTTTGTCACTTTTGTTATAAAAATTCTTATTTTCTTTCAGGCCATGCACCTAATACAAGCCCTATACAAGCAACTGCAACATTTAAAATAGACTTTTCTAAATTGTACAACACATTGAGTGAAACCCTCCACGATGACCAAACTACTCTTCTTCTGTACTTGCTTCTACACAGAAATCCAAACATGAAGTCTTTCATCCTTACAAGAACAAATCTGGATAAAATTGTGAGTTGTGAATACTGTACTTTACTTTCCAAAGTTAAAACAAATAAGTTACTTGGAATATAAATTCATAAATATCAATCCCAGTCTTGTTCCTTCATTTTGACAAGTCCAATTTATATAAGGTTAACCTCATAGTAGATATGTATCTGTTAGGTACAGTCAGATTAAGACAGGGTTTAACCCTTCCACAATTTTCAATGGTCCATACAAATTAAATGTACATTTATCTAAAATAGAACATTTGCTGGAATTACACCACAAAATCCGCTAAAACGTTTTAGTGGAAGGCGCTTTACAAAATCGCCATTCTGATTACACCAACATTTCTAAAGCGTCTTAGGAATTATATTTTGGAATTACACCTGTTTTTTCTAAAACGCCTTTCGTGCACTTTTAACGATGTAGTTATGGATAATATCCAGCATACATGTATGTGTAGCAGCTACATCTCCTGTAAATGTATTCTTTTTGCATCTAAGACAAAACTGATCTTCCATAATTTGATTAAAAATGCATGACATTAAATGTGTCGCATAATTTTTATTTATCTTTTATTAATTATGAGAAAAACATAATAAAAAGGTAAAAGAAAAATATGTTACATATTCTCTAAAGATAACACTTGATTTCGATGTGACCTGGCGACCATCATCCGTTTTTCATTTAGATATAAGGTCTTATTTCGTTTAGGGCAAACGTTAAAAACTAGTAAAAACCCGGGTAAGACGTCTTACAAAAACCGATCGGTATTACACTGCAAACTTAAAACGCTTAACGACTTATGCCGTTTACTAGTGACAAGGGTTCTTGGAGTTTTAGAAAAGCGCTTTTGTAAAACCGCAATCGTGATTACACCTGATTCTTAAACCTGGTTAAAACCGAAGAAGCTTTTGTAAAATGCCATGTGTAATTCCAGCAATTATTATTAAGAATATTTTATTTGTTTATTTTTTTACCTTAAACAATTTTGAATGGTCCATTCAACTTACATGTACATTTATCTAAAATAGCACATTACATACATTACATTGATTTACAGTGAACGAAACAGAGTGGACATGCTAAGTTCAAATGATAAAGCACATAGCCATTACGTATTGCTATTTTGTAGGTTATGCCAATACTAAAGACATTGTACCATGCGCAGGAGAGGAACTCTCACCATATATACATGGCCATTACATATTGCTATTTTGTAGGTTATGCCAATACTTAAGACATTGTACCATGCCCAGGAGAGGAACTCTCACCATATATACATGGCCATTACATATTGCTATTTTGTAGGTTATGCCAATACTTAAGACATTGTACCATGCCCAGGAGAGGAACTCTCACCATATATACATGGCCGTTACTATTGCTATTTTGTAGGTTATGCCAATACTTAAGACATTGTACCATGCCCAGGAGAGGAACTCTCACCATATATACATGGCCATTACATATAGCTATTTTGTAGGTGATGCCAATACTTAAGACATTGTACCATGCCCAGGAGAGGAACTCTCACCATATATACATGGCCATTACTATTGCTATTTTGTAGGTTATGCCAATACTTAAGACATTGTACCATGCCCAGGAGAGGAACTCTCACCATATATACATGGCCATTACATATTGCTATTTTGTAGGTTATGCCAATACTTAAGACATTGTACCATGCCCAGGAGAGGAACTCTCACCATATATACATGGCCATTACATATTGCTATTTTGTAGGTGATGCCAATACTTAAGACATTGTACCATGCCCAGGAGAGGAACTCTCACCATATATACATGGCCATTACATATTGCTATTTTGTAGGTTATGCCAATACTTAAGACATTGTACCATGCCCAGGAGAGGAACTCTCACCATATATACATGGCCATTACATATTGCTATTTTGTAGGTGATGCCAATACTTAAGACATTGTACCATGCCCAGGAGAGGAACTCTCACCATATATACATGGCCATTACATATTGCTATTTTGTAGATGATACCAATACTTAAGACATTGTACCATGCCCAGGAGAGGAACTCTCACCATATATACATGGCCATTACAATTTACATATTGCTATTTTGTAGATGATACCAATACTTAAGACATTGTACCATGCCCAGGAGAGGAACTCTCACCATATATACATGGCCATTACATATTGCTATTTTGTAGGTAATGCCAATACGTAAGACATTGTACCATGCCCAGGAGAGGAACTCTCACCATATATACGTGGCCATTACATATTGCTATTTTGTAGGTTATGCCAATACTTAAGACATTGTACCATGCCGAGGAGAGGAACTCTCACCATATATACATGGCCATTACATATTTCTATTTTGTAGGTGATGCCAATACTTAAGACATTGTACCATGCCCAGGAGAGGAGCTCTCACCATATATACATGGCCATTACATATTGCTATTTTGTAGGTTATGCCAATACTTAAGACATTGTACCATGCCCAGGAGAGGAACTCTCACCATATATACATGGCCATTACATATTGCTATTTTGTAGGTAATGCCAATACTTAAGACATTGTACCATGCCCAGGAGAGGAACTCTCACCATATATACATGGCTCTCATCATTCTACTTGTTCTTAGTGAAGATGACTTCTTTAACAAAGCTGTACATGAGTTAGTAAGTACAACTTTTAGAATTTTAGAAATTTAGAATGTTTTATCTGAAACTGAATTGTTTTTTGATTCCTAATATCCCTTCTGGGTCTTACCAGAACATTGAAATGTTTTTGATTCCTAATATCCCTTCTGGGTCTTACCAGAACATTGAAATGTTTTTGATTCCTAATATCCCTTCTGGGTCTTACCAGAACATAGAATTGTTTTTGATTCCTTATATCCCTTCTGGGTCTTACCAGAACATTGAATTGTTTTTGATTCCTAATATCCCTTCTGGGTCTTACGAGAACATTGAAATGTTTTTGATTCCTAATATCCCTTCTGGGTCTTACCAGAACATTGAAATGTTTTTGATTCCTAATATCCCTTCTGGGTCTTACCAGAACATAGAATTGTTTTTGATTCCTAATATCCCTTCTGGGTCTTACCAGAACATTGAATTGTTTTTGATTCCTAATATCCCTTCTGGGTCTTACCAGAACATTGAAATGTTTTTGATTCCTAATATCCCTTCTGGGTCTTACCAGAACATTGAAATGTTTTTGATTCCTAATATCCCTTCTGGGTCTTACCAGAACATTGAATTGTTTTTGATTCCTAATATCCCTTCTGGGTCTTACCAGAACATAGAATTGTTTTTGATTCCTAATATATATCCCTTCTCGGTTCCACCAGAACATTGTATGACCACAAAAAGAAATGTGTCTGTAAGGCCATTCTGCAGTCTTCGGTAAGTTCATGAAGTCACTTGATTATCTCATAAACCACTTGGTTTCAAAATATTGGCCTTATATTTTCCCAGCATTCTTTGCACTTTGCTTTTTAAACCTCCCCAAATATTTCTCTATCATCGCATACTGTTCTATGCTGTGGCTAGTGTATAATGCTATATTTATGTCAAATGATTTTTGTATTAAGGTATTGAAGAACATAATGTGGTTCAAAGAGAGGAGTATATCTGAGATCACCCTGGGTGGACTCCTTGTTCTGGTAGTCATCAGGACCATACAGTACAATATGACTAGGATGAGGGTAGGTGGATATATTCTTTAATTTGGATTCTTGTCTCTTGTCTTGTGAGTTTTGTTTTACCACCAAGAAGTGACAGAATTAGATAGTAGTCATGACATTGATTGTGAAGAAAAAATATCGTAGAATTGTTACAACTTGTCTCTAGCCTTTGATGCCCATTTATGTTTACAGGTTAGCATTAAACTAAACATTTTTATCATGAATTCTCAAAATGGCTGCCATTTCTGTTGAAAGTACTTCCCCATGTGAGCCAAGTATTGCTAATAATGTTTTATAACCATTTTTTCAAAAATGTTTGTACTCTTGTCTCTTGTGATATTTATTTGATTATAAATATGTGCAACTTAGATCGACTAAATTGCAAGCTTCAGCTGCAGCCATTGTTGATTTGTGGACACATGTACAGTATAAGGCCATCACAAATAAATGTTTTGTTTATTCTCTAGGACAAGTACCTACACACAAATTGTTTAGCAGCTCTTGCCAACATGTCAGCCCAGTTCCACAATCTGCACCCATATGTCACACAACGAATTGTTAGGTGAGGGAATTCTTATATATTTTTTAAGTTCATGTTTGAAATTAGATCTTATCTATAACTTTTTAATGCAGCTGTCGATCATTGTTATTTTTGAGTTGATCATAATATTCTACTTAATTGTAAAGATGTATTTCTACTTAATTGTAAAGATGTATTTAGGAGTCTTTTTCTACCCACCCCCACCTTTGTCAATACTCTATGACTTATATACAGACTCTGACCTATGACACTCATACAGATTCTGACCTATGACACATATACAGACTCTGACCTTTGACACATAGTCAGACTCTGATCTATGACACATATACAGACTCTGACCTTTGGCACATAGTCAGACTCTGACCTATGACACATATACAGACTCTGACCTATGACACAAATACAGATTCTGACCTTTGACACATATACAGACTCTGGCCTATGACACATATACAGACTCTGATCGTTGACACATATACAGACTCTGACCTATAACACATATACAGACTCTGACCCATGACACATATACAGACTCTGACACATATACAGACACTAACCTTTGACCTGTAGACTCAGACCTATGACACATACACAGACTCTGACCTATGGCACATACACAGACACTAACCTTACCTACAGATGGTAAAATGGTGAATAATGAAGAATTCAAGAATGAATTATTTATTTGTAGTCTGCTGGAGCATCTCTCAAAGAAGCATGCCAGACTTGTAGAGCAGATCCGCCAGTCTGCAGTAGATGGGGGTCCTACTGGGGCTGACAGTGGTTCAGACACTGACACTGATTATGTAAGAACTGCAGTTATGCCATCTTTTTATGTCTACCTTTTATATTCCATTCACCCCCATAGCTAGCATTCTTTTTTATTGAAAGATTATCTGTTCATTCAATCCTGTGTCATCCCATGTATGGGATAGGGTGACTGTCATTTCACTTCTCATAGGACACCTTAAATACAAATATTAAACAAAATGTATATGTATTTTGGGATATCTTCAAGAGATATTTAATATATATGTGACAACCTACCTCCCGAGATCTACGTTTAATTTCCTAACATGGGAGTTATTTTGAAAAATTGTGGGTGTACTTATTCACACATTGTTTTAACCATTTATGATAATTCAAAAAGTAACAAAGCAATTTTTAATTTACTGTATTAAAATGTTCTTTATTTTTTGTGTTTAGGTGCAAGATCTAGCAGTATTAGAAGAGGTCATAAGAATGGTGCTAGAAATCATCAACTCCTGCCTGTGTAATTCTCTACACCACAACCCAAATCTCATCTATACACTTATGTACCAGAAAGACTTGTTTATTCCTTTCCGCACACACCCAACTTTCCAGGATATCATACAGAACATTGACACTGTGAGTAGAGGGCATTACAATTTACTAAATAATGATGAAAAATGTGTAGAAAATGATGTTGAGCTCTATCTAATCAAGAAGATTTCATCATAATAGATCTTTCTAATAAACTCTTTGTCATACTAAAGAAACAAAATAAATTGGATTATGGTAAAGAATATAGATGGCAATGTTTCTTATCAAAAATAGGATTAACTGATAAAAATTTTCAACTTTTTTTTATTAGAATATTGCTTTCTACAACATTTGACATCATGATCTATTTATTTTATGTAGAAAAGGTGGCAGGGTTTATTTCTATTGAAATGTCTTAACAAAAAATTATTAAATGGATTACATTGTTCTGAACATAATACAAAAACTCTCAATTATTAAATGAATGACTGCTAAGGATTGTCTTCTGGCATTTACATACATACAAATCTTGGTTCCAGGTTCTAGCATATTTTTCCAACAAGATTGAGCAACATGACAAGAATCTCTCTGTGCCAGAAGTACAAGATATCATCCAACAGGGGGCTCAGCAGTTTAGGAAAGACAGGCTAAAGGTAAATAATTCTGTAATGCATTTTAAGGTGTACAGTTAAACCTGTCTAAGTGAACAACTCTCTCTCTCGTGAGTATCCCTTCTTAGAACATACTCTACTGACTTCTGTATAAAATATCCTCTCTGAAGTGAACTCCTATCAATACTGAACAATTTTTCTCGGCTAAATTAAAGTGTTCAATATACTCCCGTTTTACTGAATTCTGTAAGATGGTTTGGGAAACCGGGCATGCAAATTAAGTTATGGCTGCAATGCAGTATATACAATGTTAATGTGATAAGGTAAATTCCCTTTGTAGCTCAAGTGAGAGAACATTTGACATATAATTTGGAGGTTGTGGGTTCAGTTCCCACCAAGATGGAGTGATCCACATCAGCCCTTGTAGCATATAGGATTTGATCCTTTATATTTATTTTAGATTAATCTGTATTTTAAGTATATTGTTTACCCTGTTCCTTGTTAAAATTAGGTGCATACTGTATATTTTGAAATACAGACTAAATATTACAAAGATATTAACATTTCATTAACATGTGTTTTCAGAAGTTTCCTGAGCTTAAATTCAAATATGTGGAAGAAGATCAACCAGAAGAGTTCTTCATTCCATATGTTTGGTCGTTAGTGTACCATTCCTCAAACCTTTACTTCAACCCTAGCAAGATACAGCTGTTCTCCCTCAACACCTAGCACCAGAGACTAATAGGGCACTGAGGCAATATGTCATTCTTAGACAATGTGATTATTTAAAGACCTCTAAGGGGTCAACTCTTTAATATCAGGGGCAAGATGATGGTGTTTTCAAAACAGTCAAATGACAAAAGGATCACTCCAAATTTTAGATTGATAAATATAAATGAAAACACCAGACTCAGAAACAGAGCTAATTCTATAGCTCAGTGGTTCAGTTTTTATGTCACCACCACGATCGGCGACATGTTATTATTATAGTCTCCAACTTTTTTGTAGATGGTGTTCGGCATTTGGCAGTTGTTGCCTATTGTACATGTTACTTTGTCACAATACCACACCCTGTCTTCAAATCTGTACATATGCATTATGTTTAATAATATTGAAAGCTTTTTATTCCACTTTTTCACAATGTGAAGTGGTATGAATAACTCAAAGTTACAAAGTAACGTAATGTTATAAATATTATTTGTAAATTGTATTGGATTAATTGTATATGTTATTGGCCTCGGGCCTTGGGATGTATATATTAAGTAATTTATGAAGAATTGTACATATCTGAATGTACATGTATATATTTAAACTGAATAAAATAGTTCACAAAATATATTTCATTATCACCATGCTTTACCAATCTTTACTTCTTCATCAATAGTAACCCATGTAATGTTATCTCAATTTTATTGATTTGCAAAATACGAGGCATAATTGCCAATAACTCTTTCACTATTAGATGGCTGCATAGACTAGATGCAAATAAAAATATTTAGGCTAATTGATAAATACTCAAAATTCAGTCAGTGATATCATATTTAAAATTTACATGTAAAATTACACCTAAAAATGTGGTTTCAAAGATTTCATTTGCTGGACATATTTTAATTTGTAGAACAATCAGAATCAGATACATAATATATTTATCAACTGAAACTTTATCAACAATAGTTGAAAAGGAAACATGAAAAAATCAAATTTTAAACTGTACCTGGCCTAATACATGCAGTGCACTGAAGCTGAACTAATTACACGAACCCACTTCTCAGCACACTTATCTCATAGTTGATACAAAGGAAATTAAATTTTCCTAAAATTGGATCATGGGCCATTCGCCTTTCATAAGAGTCAGTGTGGGGTTTAAGTTAGATAAACTATTTGTAATGAGTCCTAGGAGAACTAATAGCCTCGGTCTAAGGCCCTTGGTTATTATTCCTCCTAAAACCAAGTTCTCATAGTTTATCCATAACAGAATATTCCATATCGATACTGTGACACTCTTCTAGTTCTAAAGAAAAATAACAAGAACAATTCTCTAATGGATCACCATTTATTGACATTTTACATCTCTGTAACAAAATAAAGTACAGTATCCTACATACATAAGATAATATATACATATATGTACATGTTACTTTCTCGGACTAGTGAGAATAATATACATTTATACAGTATTTACATATCCTATACAGGGTGAGTAAAAAATACATCCCACCTTCAACTATAAATTTTCTTATTTGACCTGTATGCTCCATAGGAGGCGTTTTTAGTTCGGCATATCAACTTCAAAAGTATATGAATAAAATACATTCAACTTTTTTAGATGGAATGTGGCTTGCAATTTTCGCTCACTCTGTGCTCTTCCTTTTCAAAAATATCAAACAGGTCATGTGTTCGAATATAAGCACTGAAAGGAGATGAGAATGATACACCCTTTGCTTGCTTTGAAATCTCATTTTTAAAGAATTTCCAATATGAAATACTTGATAAATCAAGAAATTAAGTGATTTAAACACTTTCAATATAATTTATGGTAGTAAGTAGCCTGACCAAAACACTCCTGTCATCTTTTATCCATCTATATAGCAATTGATCTATAAGATAAGATTTATTAAACACAAAAACTTTTTTTTGGAGTAAAATTGTCTGAAATAAGCATGATCAGTCTGATATTTTAAATAAGGATTACTTTAACATAAGATAAGCATTGAACAGTCACTCAGTTTAATCCTGTAGGTTACTTATCTAGAGCAATGCTACTTGAAATACCACATTTACATCACAAAGTAGGGAGATTCAAAATTCTTTAACACTGGAAAGTAAAACTAAAATTTTTGAACTCCATTTGATTTCAATGACAATGTTTCTTTCTATGGACATCATTTGTGTAACAACATACTTTTGTCATCGAATGTTCCTAAAACAATTAAAATTGTTTCAGATGTAATTTAAAAATGAATAACTGTATAAATCTTAATAACTGGAATTTCAGAAACTCCAGATTATATTCTAATAATAATTTCAGGTTAAACTATATCAGATATTTATGCAGGCAAGTCGAAAGCTCTGTATGTGGTTTCCTAACTTGTACATTAGTATTCACATAATAAACTAATTGAGTACTATATTAGTAGCAGTGTTACCAAGGCACTAACACATCCAGTACTATAGTAGCAGTGTTACTAAGGCACTAACATACTTCTGTATAGTTTGAGGCACTCAGATACTCATGATATACTAATATTGTGGCAATACTCAAACATTAATGCTCATACATATTGTATGAGTAATTATTAGCATTCTGACTATCTGTTAATTTCATGTTTTGGAAGTCCTCTGTATTGTTATCTGGTGACCATGACCCTCCACTGCCCCGGGTGCTAGTCCTGAGTCGATCATCTTCATGACGGGATACATGTGAAGAAGTACCATTTCTTGGCACTAGTGGATGGTATTGGTCTATGGCAAAGTTGTATGATAAGGCTGAAAGAGGATAGATGGAATCATAATAATATTAATAGGCACTCATTTTGGTAGTTGCTACGATATAAAATGTGCAAGAGACATGTATTTTAGCATGTGGTCTAAGGAATCAGTGCTACAGGGCTACATGACACAAATGCTATCTTTCTGAAAATTATTTATTATTAAGAATTGTCCTATTCTATTAAGAATTGTCATATTCTATGATTAAAGCAGACTTACCAGCAGCTGAAGGGACATATTTGAACCAGGATGGCCGCGCAGGGCGGTGAAGCTTTGGGTGCCACTCTGGAGCTTCTATATGTTCAGCTAAAACAAGGAATAAATATACATAAGCTTTGACCCAGTCAATAATGTAAATATAATGTCTATACAATGACATTGAGTTGTCACTACAATGACCCGGGTTGTTATACTGTAATGATGAACCTGAGTTGTCAATACAATGACCTTGAGTTGTCAATACAATGACCCTGAGTTGTCATACAATGAACTTGATTTGCCAATACACTGACCTTGAGTTGTCAAAATACTGACCTTGAGTTGTCAATACAATGACCTTGAGTTGTCAATACAATGACCCTGAGTTGTCATACAATGAACTTGATTTGCCAATACACTGACCTTGAGTTGTCAATACAATGACCTTGAGTTGTCAATACAATGACCCTGAGTTGTCATACAATGAACTTGATTTGCCAATACACTGACCTTGAGTTGTCAATACAATGACCTTGAGTTCTCAATACAGTTATCAGTTAACTGGTGCTCATATATATATTATATTATTATATATTATATAATTACGGATTAAGATGACACATGAAAATTAACTTACTGTATATTTGTTCTAAAAGTTTTTGTTGTTTGGCAGCTATAACATTTGGATCCCACATATGGATAATTTTCCTATTTTTCCCTGATAAACTTTTTAAAAGTTTTTTCCTATAAAATTTTCTCCAGGCTAATTGTATTGTCAGTGCTGCTATTTCCCTTTTCCAGTTGTCCTCTCCTAGTTCAAGTCTCTTGTCTTTAATAGCTTCAGATGCTGTTTTTAATATTCCCTTAGTGCGAAATTTATACCTGAAAATGGTGATGTAGATTTTACATACATCTCACATCACATTCTTTTCACATAATAAAATAAAGATTTTCTTTGTGGTTTTAAGTTCTATGTATTGTTACTCTAAGAATATAAATCATTTTAAGCCTAATCTTTCTGCTGTATTTGAGTAAGTAAGTGGGATTGAAGGAATAATTTGAATTGGTTAACACATGTAAATGTGGTTAATGTTTTATCCTAAAACTCACAATTTCCAAGATCTCTGTATAACATGAGCTGCATGTTGCCTTGACCTGAACTCATTCAAGCGTTCCCTTTCTGTTGCAACTATCTCTCTATTCTCTTTCATCTGCATGGCCTTCATCTCTTCTTCTGTATATTGAGGACCCTTTTTCCTGAATGAAAACAAATCCTTGTGTAATGTTTAATCCTAATCAGTTTTTGATGAACTTTTACATTGGTTTCACTTGAACATTTTACATGGTATGTACCATGTGCGCTGAGTCTAGTTAGAAACTACTATTTAGAAGATGAATCTCTCTTTTAAGAAGTCAAGTCGAACTAATGCAAAGGGTATGGTATGAAATACAAATAACTTGCTGTCAAACTTTTGGTAAATGAAATTGTTCTGACTGTTATGTTTGTTCAATTCTGGCTGTTCAATTCTGTGAATATTAGAAATCCATTGTATCAATATGACACAACTTTCTCACCTCCTGTGAATTTTAGGTTGTTTCTCTTTGAGCCTCTCTGCTTCCTCAGCTCTCTGTTGAGCTTCAAGTTTCTTTCTCTCCTCTTCAGCAAGTTGTTCCTTGGTCTTCTTAGGTTCCACAAACAGCAGCTTCTCTACCTTTAGTCTCTCAGACACCTCTTTCTTGTTCCTCTGGTCAAAGCTCTTCTTATACTCTTCTTCTGCTTTTTTCCTAAATAAGGTTTACAGGTGGATTAAATCACTGCATCTAATGCTAATATGTTACCCCTAGCTTTAAAAAACACCAAACAAAAACCTCAATGGAAATGCAAATATAGAATCAGAACATGACTTATGTCATCAGATATCAGAAAAAGTGACTATTTTTCTTTGTTATTTGTGACGCTACAATTAGCTCTGCTGAACCCTATTTCGAGTTACTATAACTTCTACAGTGCAAAATAACAACATATTCAAGCAATATTTTAGGATGCTTAATGGAATGTATCATGCCTGTATTATTACTTATACATGAAAGAAACCAAGTAACTGATTCTACTGTTTGATTGGCACCATTACTGTAACTTACTTTGCGGCATCCTTGCGAAGCTGTTCATGTTTAAACAGCAATTTTTTCCTTTCCAAGAATGTCCGCCGAACTCGAAACCCTCTGAAGCTTGACTGAATTTTTGATGCAGCAATATTTTGAATGCCAGTGATGGAGAGAGCTCCCTGCTCAAGGAGATACTGGGAGACCTCTGTGTGCTCCCCCATCAATGCATAATCTAGGGGAGTATACCTACAAGTACAAAGGTAATAGAATTAAAATTCACACATATGCACATGCAATATACTCGAGGGAGATGTGCTAAAAACAGTCTGACAGTGTTTATCTGGAATTAAATCATGGTTTCTGAATAAGCAACAAAAATGTTGTATATCTGGAATTAAATCATGCTTTCTGAATTAAGCAACAAAAATTGTGAGAGAAATCCTGGTTGATCTTGGATACACATGTAAAAACTGAATTTTCTTCATGCTTTCACATTCAACTTTTACACCCATATCTATTGTAGACTATTTTCTAAACCATATAAACCGTTCATTGCCAGAATTGATTCAATTTCTGAATGAGTCAGGAGAATAAATGTTCATGGATGTTCGTGAAGACAAATATTGCAATGCAAGCCATTATTGCTAATTCCTTAATACATACTGGAATTACTTCAAAAGTCTGTAAAGCCTCAATATACGAGGGTTGATCATAAAGTTCTCATAATATCCCTCTAATTTCTTTATTTTTCAATATCTTTCTATGAAATTTTTACAGAATGTGCAGTATGGAATGTTGTATTAATCCAGCAAACAATATTTAGAATGACAGAAACATTAAATAAGAACTGGTTGCCATAGTAACTTGAAATCAAGGCACTCGGGGCAAAAAAAAACTAGCTAGAATAGCCCCCATTAACCATGTTTAAATACATAACAAGTTGTCAAATAAGCTATCAAACACATTAAATTGTCAAATAATATGGGCTCTTAACTGTTGTGAACTGTTATAATGGTCATGTGAATTGTGTGATCTCATAATGGATGATTTTTATGCTTCATTAGAAGTGACTGTTAGACCCCATGCCTGTTTTGTCAAATATACTGAGGAAAATTGATTTTGCCCCACGTGGCCCCTTTAGATCATTTCTAACATGTACAGACCACCCACAGGGTGTAATTTTGTTGATATCTTAGCAATATATTTGTTTAGATCATGTTTAGTCCGACCAAAGGATCTTACAAACTTAACATAACATTTTATCAGTATGAATTTTATTTTTCTGAAGATCTCTGCATCTATTTCATTCTCTAACTCAGTCATTTCTGATCATTAGCTTTACGTCTTTGACTCTGGTCTCACATCTAATGGAGCATTAAAGCATCACAAAATGTACACGATCGATTTATTTAATTCTTAAATCACATTACAACATATTCAAGTTAACATTTTAACATGTTTGGTAATTCATGAGAGTTTTTTATGTATGTAAACATGGTTGATTAAGCTCATTCTCTCACTTATTTTTATTTGCCCCGGGTGCCTTGATTTCCCGTTACCATGGCAACCATTTCTTTATTAATATTTCTGTTAAACTAAATATTTTTTGCTGAATTAATAAGACATTCTATGCTGCACATTCTGTGAAGATTTCATTAGAATATATTGAAAAATAAAGAAATTAGAGGGATATTATGAGAACTTTATGATCAACCCTCGTATATATACACCTTAATATAACAGAATTATAATATTTTTTACCTGTCTTCTGTGAATTCCATATGGTTAGGGAAGGCTTTGTATTCAATGAGCAGCTTCACAGCATCTAGATGCCCTTTACTTGCTGCCCAATGGAGGGCACACATCCCTGGAATCCGAAAATGCCAAATAATATATTTTTGTACCACTGTATGTCTGTACATAAACAATATGAGTTGTTTGTACTTTTGTAGCCCACATCTGTTTGTTAGCATGATGGATCTATATCTGTACATTTACAGAATTTGTATGTACTATAATACTAATTAACACAAGGCATTAACATTCAAAATGTCACAACCTACCATTCGTTACAGATAAGTTATGTGACGTCAAACACCTACCATCAACCACCATCCACAAAAAAGGTGGAGTCTATAACAATATGTCACACAATAAATACTATAGTGCTATAACATGGTCAATTTAAAACTACATGCCTTCATTATCTTGGGAGTCAGGGTCTGCTTTGCTTTCTATGAGGACGGACATACAGTTGACAAAGCCACCATAGGCAGCGCATTGTAAGGGGCACCTTCCTGAGTGATCTCGAACATTGGGATCTATTCCATACTTGATGAGGGTCTGGCAGATGTAGGCATGGCCTCCTAGTGCAGCCCTGTAATACAAATTGTAGGCATATTTTATAATCTAACATGGATTGCATTGTCACAAAGACATAGTGATTAAACATAAGAAAGTTTTAATAGAAAATGTGTATCAATAAACCTTTTGTCGAATTGTTGAATTAAATGTACATAAAATTATGCAGTTTAATAGAAATTGTGTAGCAAATCCATGAGTCTACTTTTATGTTTCTTGTATTAGAAGGAGTGTGTTCGTGTGTGTCACTTACCAATGCAAAGGTGATCTTCCATCTTGATCTGTCACCTCAACTTTTGCCCCTTTGTCGATGAGGACATGAACTACATCAGTATGTCCCATTTCACAGGCACGGAATAATGGAGTATGTTTCAGGAGATCTATAGTGTTTATTTGTGACCCACTTTCCAGCAGTAACTTCACTGAGGCAGCATGGCCAGACAGGGCTGCAGCATGGAGGGCTGTAATATTCATACATTTACTGTGATTAGTCAGCTTTTTGTCATTTAATAAACATCAATTGTAGTGAGTTATCTATGAAAATTCAACTCAATACTAGCTATCATCAAAATAAATACCAGAGCCCCATTCAAGTCAATATAAGCTATTATCAAAGTAAATACCAGAGCCCCATTCAAGTCAATATAAGCTATTATCAAAGTAAATACCTGAGCCCCCATTCAACTCAGTATAAGCTATTATTAAAGTAAATGCAAGAGCCCCATTCAAGTCAATATAAGCTAGTATCAAAGTAAATACCAGAGCCCCATTCAAGTCAATATAAGCTATTATCAAAGTAAATACCCAAGCCCCCATTCAAGTCAACATAAGCTTATATCAAAGTAAGTTAGTAAATGCTTGAGCCCCCATTCAAGTCAATACAAATTATTATCGAAGTAAATACCCGAGCCCCCTTTCAAGTCAACATAAGCTAATATCAAAGTAAATAACTGAGCCCCAATTCAAAATAAATACTTGGAACCCCTATTCTGGTCAACATAGCCAGTATCAATGTAAACACCTGAACCTCCATTCTTTTCAACATAAGCTATTATTTAGTACACATAAATACCTAAACCTTCATTCTTGTCAACATAAGTTATTATCTATAAGTACACATAAATACCTGAGCCTCCATTCTTGTCGACAAGGTGCAAATCTGTCCGTGATTTAACAAATGCTTTTATGACATCATTGGCACCCTTTCCACAAGCCCACATAAAGGCAGTTCTTCCTTCCACATCTGGCTCATCTGTTACAGCTTTATGACTCAAAAACACCTCAACCGTTGCCTTAAACATACAGGTGGAATTACAATTAAAATCAGGACTGGTCTGATGTCAAGGAAAATGATACTTATACTCACTGGTAGCTTTTAATGTTTTTTTTATGTTTTGACATCAAAAATTTCAACCAATGTTACAAAATATACAAATGCACACATATATGTTCATTATAGCAAATATAAAGCAAACTGCCTGGTATATAAATGAAGGTACATTATATTTGAACTTTATGATAAACTCTTTGTATGTTGTTTACTTACAGCAAAGTTATTCTGTGCAGCGTAATGTAGAGGGGTAGCACCATTGGAATCAGAGCTAGAATACTCTGCTTTTTTAGTAAGCAATACATCGACAATCCTGGAATGACCTGGAAATACAAAAGTTACATAGCTAACATGCTTAGGATCTTCAAGTTTAAATATGAAAATTAGATCATGGCTCCATGTTACATAAGAAAATTAACAGTTCTGTTACAAATGGGTCTTTTTACAGAATGATTCTTTGAACTAACTGAATTCACATACAGCCACTTCGAAGACAATAGGTTTTGGGTGCTCTAGCTGACATGGAGACAGATATTTGACAGACTGGATGTGATTTAAACCCATTTCAGATTATTTCATTTGGTCTTAGCTATACTTACCTAATACAGCTGCCCAATGCAGAGGGGTCCTGAACATGTTGTCCAAGGCAGACACATTGCACTTTGCCAGTGACGTCTAAAATTAATAAATATAAGATCTATATAATGTATTTTTAGTTTACTTGAAGATAGATAAATACTTGTAAACTGAAATGTATACTAACCAATGCATTGTCACTATTGTTGATATTTTCCAATTGATGATTTGTAGTTTATAATTTATACATTTTTACTCTACATACAAAGCCTGAGGCCTAGTGTTGCTCTAATGACCTCATACAATATGGATGCTCTGTCTTGAATCAACAGAGATCTGATACGTTTCATACTGTTAAACTAGTGTTCAGTCAAATGAATTAAATTGATAGATCAAGATGGACACATTTGTCTTTTATCGAATTCAACTATACACATAACACTTTTGAAAGACTGTTTCAGCATACTATTGTACTCACCAAAGCATCAACAACTGCCTCATTTCCATCTGCTACGGCCAAATGTAGCGCTGTTCGACCCTCATAATCCTGCCAGTTAATTACACTTGGGGCTGTCTCCTTAAAATTTAAGATATTTACTTATTACTTTTTCAAATATTTTACTTTAAACCTTTCCAGTAAATTCTCTCCTTATGATGAAACATATTATACAATCATGTGCAAATACAAATGGAGGGCCAAAAACTAATTTTTCGAAATAAAGACTTCAGAGATGCCACATTTGTACAAATCATTGTTTTATATAAAGCCGATTTGGATGAGAAATAATTTGAATTAAGTAGATGGACTAAAAATGTACTATCTGAGTTAACCAATGATTTCTTAATTGTCTATGAGTGCTAAAGCAGGACTACTCACCAGTATTAGTCTGACACAATTGACAGCTGAGGCATCCTTGCTACTTGCAGCCCAATGTAGGGGGGTCTTTCCCTCAATGTCAGGTATACCTGCAGAATTAAAGCATATAGCGTATAGGGGTACTTGACATGAAGTTCACTTACACTTTCCCAAGTTTGTAGCACCTACACCTATCTCCCTTGATCAACCACATCTAAAATCTTACATTAAAAAGGTGCTCCAAAAAGCAAAATTAGATGGTGAGTTCAGGATGATCAACCATATGAAAAATTAAGTCTTTCATTGGTATATTCTATTTGGTAGATATCAAGCTTGACATATCATATAGAGAAAATCAAAACATGCATATAACATACAGATGCAGATGTACTTATTTGAGAATTTCCTTACCTATATTAGAATTCTGTTTTATCAGCATTCGGATATGTTCCAGGTTTCCATAGGAAGCGCTCCAATGTAGGGCCGTTCTCTATGAATAGACAGTATTCTTTATATCATTGAGTTTTTCATTATGAAAGAAACTTAGTTCCATCATGGGCTGTCAACTAGTTGAAAGCCCATGGTTCCATAGAAATAATTGTTTTTGAATTTTAAATCTAACATTTATAAAACTTGGCTTTCATTTTTCAGGACAAAAAAGACATAGAATGTACAATATTGAACCCTTGAGATTATTGCTGAGCTAAAATTTCAACAAAATCCTATTCCAAAGTAAAGGTGAATAAAGGTGAATTAAGAGGGGTTGCAATCCAGAAGAGACTGAACAATTCAATGATTTTTTTTATTTTTGTATTTTCTGTTTTTCCTGTTATTTTGTTTTAACAAATTGTACATGTATGAATATTCAAGAAACAAAAAACAATATCCTTATTCCTGATTCAGACAATATTCTTATAGGAAAACTGAACAACGTAAAGATTACAAAATGAATACCTTATTTTTATCTTGGTCATCTATTTCCCCAGGCTCCAGCTGCTTCATAATGAGAGCCAAGCACTTAGGTGACTTATGCCTTGTTGACAAATGCATTGCAGTTTGACCCTCATTATCCTTTTCCTTCCAGTTGGCACCCTTGGACAGCAATAGCTTCATGCAGCGAAAATTACCCTGGAACACAATTAATCAATTGACTCGAGACCTGTTCTTTTGGCTTTTTATTTGGGAGTAAGGGCATCTCTAATTTTTTCCCTCGAGCTAAATGTTTTCAAGAAATTTTCAAGTGCCACAAACATTGTGTGGTAAATAAAAAAGATTTTCTTTCTTTCTGATGCGTTATCCATGCACAAAACAAACAAACAAACAATCAAGCAAGCGACATACCTTATGAGATGCCCAATGCAAAGCAGTTCTGCCTCCTTTGTCTTTCTTGTTCACCTGTGCTCCTGCTTTTAGCAACAGGTCTGCACAGTCCAGCCTGTCTGCCAGCACACAGAACATCAGGGGTGTCCTGCCAAACACATCCCCTGCATCAAGGTGCTTGGCATTTGCTGGAAACAACAGAGTCTTTTCATTTACAATGAATCTACATTTAGTGTGCTGTCATTGGTTTGACATTTGTGTATCAACCCAGGCATGAACAATCTGTCAACAGTTAGTCACAGTATACACATTAATGTACACATCAGTAGTCATCTACATTAGTAATTTGCAATAGGCTTAGCAAATTCACAGTAAAGTTTAATGTGCTCAATGAGTCTACTAACACTTACAAACAAGAAGTTTAGCCAAGCCAGGCTTGTCACCATTAACAGCTGCCGCATGCATCTCTGTGATCTGATTGTTAGAATTCACTGCCCCACCATCCAGGTTCATGTTGCTATCCATGCCCTTTGCCATATTCCCGCCTCCCGCATGACTGGCTGTTTCTGCGGCCATTGTTATTGTCGTTCTACCTGCAGTGGTATGTAAGGTTTCAACCTCATCATCTATCTGAAATCAGTCAAGAAATATTTAACTTTGTGACTTACTTATGGTCCTATTTCAAAGATATATGAAGGGAGGGGGGGGGGGTTCTGAAATGTTTGTTATATTGAAATGGAATGTAATAATCAATTACCAAGGTGCCACTATTAGTTACCAGTGTCCATTGGGTGACAGACAAGACAGAGAACATAAAAGAGTCAAAAAATATTCCATATAACTTAAATAGAAACGCAGTGGACCAATATCTAAACTTTTTCAAGATGATAACTTAAACATTTTTAAATGTATTCGGTAAATAGAATCTGCTTAATAAAGCAAAAGATTCGCTTTTCATGATTTTATGACATCAATCCCACCTAGAAATCACCATTTCAAAAAAGTTATATGACATTAAGTTGTTTTTTTAAACAACCTAAAACCATTTTAGATGTTACATGTATATACCGGTATGTATGTTTAATATTTCCCCTGGCATCTTTTCTATTATATTCATATATATATATAGGTATAAACCAGTAGTTCATATACAGCAGAAAGACATGCATTACACAATTTTTTATAACAGAATAAAGTATGTAAATCATTATAAAAAGAGAAATTCATATCTTCTTAATTTTTATGTACACCACATTTCTTTCTGAAATTTGAGACTTCAAAATGTAATGAACTGTAAGAATAATATTCATATTCAAACAACTGTATTATTATGTAAATAGGTGATGATCCAGTAGCTGAAAAAAAGAAAGTTAAAGTGACTAATTTGAGGGTGGTAGGCTAGCATTATCTCTTCTAAATGAAACAGGCATGCATAATTCAATAGAAAATGGTGAAAATGAATTCTTTCTAAATCAAAATTAAAAATTAAAATAAATGTGTTAAATGACAAATATGACACACAATTCAATTACTCAACATATCAGACCACCCATATATGGTAAAACTTTATATTCTAATTTTTACATTCAGGACCTCATCAGTGGATGTCATAGAATGGAACCTGTATTAATTTTCCCTTTCGTGGTTCACTCTTTAATCAAAAGGTACAAAAATATGCACTTAAAAAGCCCTCCAAAAGGACCAAATTTGATTGGTCAATATTGTCCCACGACACATTTCGCATAGCCATTTGCGGGACCTGAAAGTTCTGAATCAAACTATTTACGCAATTTTGTTTTTACACCCGCACGCTAAATAAAACAATGACACCATCAGAAGTATCATTCTTTGTCATTGCTTTAATGATCAGTATACCGAGTATATATAATCAAGAAAAGCTTGTACAATGGACAACAAAATTCGGAAACCAGTACTATAGATTTGCTTTCAGCGGACACAAGATTATGAAATGTTATTACTAAATTGTTCTATGTCAGGCAACGGAATATCAAGTTTGAATAATGGCTGCCAATCATAAAGGCATTTAAAACCTCCTAAATAATCAGAATCCTGGCAGAGTACAAGATAAAGTTACCTGTACCAATTAACCCTTTCCCGACGTGAATATAAGAGGAAAATGTTGGCCCTGGTGACGGATAGGTAAGAGCAGTTTTTAGGGGAAAACTGAAAATTACCTATGCCCAGGGACCTATACCTTGAATTTTATCACTGAAATACATTTTTTTGTAAGGACTATCGTATTAGAACAACTTGTCAAAATTTGGTGTAAAAATACTGAATAGAACTGGAGATATTATCATTTCATCGATGTATATAAATAAAAATTATGGTGCCAAAAGGAGCCTATCGTCCTGAAAGGTATTACATAATAGGGCAGAGCTGTCAAGTGTCCCGCGAATGGCGGGATTATCCCGCGAATTTGACCAGAATTTGGCTTATTCGCGTGTCCCGCAATGTCCCGCAAATTCCCGCAAATGACGGCTTTGACCTCCGCGAATTTTCAAAATTGTAACAATCCCCGAGGCTAAATAATTGTGATTATCTTGTGATATAAGAAGCTAAGCTTTTTGCACTTTTGAGGAGTCAAGTTTACCTAATTTGAAAAGTGCTGCCGAACTCCCAGTGCATCAGATCATCGAAGACTGCTTTTGGAAGGAGCATATAAAACTATGATTTTGATCCAAATAACACCATAGTTGGCTTCTAGCATGCCGTTTGGTATCAAAATAAAGAGGAAGAGTGCAAATTTCATTTTAATTACGGAAATAGGGATGTATGTCACGATTAGTTCCAACGTTGGCCTTTTTACTACGCGTGTCACGGCCTTCATCTCAGAACTGAACTAATGTTAGCAAACGCGAGTTCCAATAAATGGACACTGATATCTCGAAAAGAAACCTGACTCCCTATAATTTGATGTAGAATAATCGAACCCCTATATGAATAGGTACATTTTGATATATAACACTATGGGGGTAAATGTTTCATAGTTGGTCACGAATGCCATAAGTGCAAAGTATTCACAAGAATTTTTGAATTTCGTGTCGGATTACGGTACTCACACCTAAAGCGTGGTTTTTGATAGTTTAATAATAGTTCTATGCGTATTGTGTGGAATTGTGTGGAATTGTGTTGAGTTTACGTAAGTTAAGTGCATTATATTTGATAAATCAGTATCTGAAAGTTTGATTCAAGAGTACTTTTACATTAAAAATCCCTTGAATGTCCTGCGACATCCCGCAAAAGGTGGATGTCCCGCAAAATCCCGCGAATTTAGGGCACTTTGTCTAGAAAAATTATCCCTCTCTGAAGTCTTTGTTGGTTACCCTGTTAATTGTCCCGCAAGTAGCGTGTTTGTCCCTCGAATGGTCCCACGAAATCCCGCGAATTTGATCAAAATTTGACCTTTTAGCGCAATCACGCAAATCCCTTAAATGTCCCGCGAAATCCCGCGAATTTAGGTGGATGTCCCGCAAAATCCCGCGAATTTTTGGCACTGGGTCTAAAAAATCTGTCCCGCGAGAAAATCTTTGGGGGTTGACAGTAATGATAGGGCTCCATATGGAGCCCATCGTCATGAAAGGGTTAAAGGTCCAATTAAAATGCATAAACAAAGAGATAAATACAGCGTATCTTATGATTTTTGCTTCATTCCTGACCTTCATGATGGTTTACAATGGAATTGAACAATACCTGTAATTAAACAATTACTAAAATATAACACAGAATTACCCAAATGCGAGAAGGTAGTTACCAGTTTCACCACCAGGTGGCTGATTCGGGTCAATTAACATGGCAGGTATATAAGAAAGTTCCCTTAAACTTGAATATTATCAATTTAAGTGGCTCAATTTTCATATAACCCTTATGCGTCTGATACTTATACTAATGAAAATATGTCCAGTAAAGCAAAATATTATCTGTCCACTAAAAGAAAAGATATTTCATTTTTTGTGATTTTATAGCATGGTGTCTATGGGGAATCTCCCCGAGCTAGAAGTCACATTTTCAAAGAAAATTAATTTTTCAAAGTTGATAAACACTTTTTAAAACCACATTTCTAGATGTAATTTTACATGTAGATTTCAAATATGATATTACTTTGACTGAATTTTTAATGACGTAAATCAATATTATTTCTACTCGCATCTGGGTTATTATATCAAGGATTAGGAAAATGGAGATTAAAAGACTGGGAGACTGACAATCCCAATTTTAATATCTGAAAGAGATACCTGATCAAATTCACTAGCTATTTAAGATGCATAAATTGTTTTTTTAATTGAAAAAGCGGATGCTCCCTTTTCAAACCTACTGAACATAGAATTACAGCAAACAAGAACGAAAGCACTCTTCCAGAAAAACATGCAGTAAATATAATGTAAATATGATGTCCTTTAATATCTTAAATATAGTAAATAAAAACAAGAAAACACATTATGGTGCAGTATTTTTTTGTTTGATTTCAACAGATTATTGTATTTTTATGAACTTCAGGACCTATGACGGAGTAAAGGCTAGATTGTGTCTTGTTCTTTCTCATATGTACTTATTTGTCTTAAACAAATTTATTGTTTTCTATGGCCTGATGGCTTCTCAATATCCCTACATGAACTTTGTTTGTTGGGATATAGTAAAGGAAGTATTAAACAAATAATAATGTCCAAAACATTTGAATATGATTAAGCAAAAAGTTTAGCCACAAAAAAACACATTAAAAACATGCTACATGCTGTGACATTGTTAACATAAATATACACTTAAACCCCTCTATTAAACAAAAGTACCCTTTCAATTTTGATCTTACACATCATGTCGTACTTATCATGCATCAAGTAGTGAGAGTTGCATGAAAAATCATAATGCAAGCCTTATTATACATGTATCGGGGAGTCCCAAGATTAGACTAATACAAATAATTCAAAATTAGTATCCCAATATTTGTTTATTTATAATTGTATTCCATAAACAAACAAGGAAGAACTCTCAAATCGTATTCCAACCAACAAAAATTTTACTCCCTAAATAAATCATCTTGATTAACAAGGTTTCAGCTGCTCCAACTTCATAAAACCTTGAAAGTCAAAGATGTCCCTAAATTGGCTTGTCAGAATAATTACATCCTCCGAACACAGGCCTCCAGAATTCGTAGCTCCTTCTTCCAGGGTGGAAGAAGGAAGGAACGTAGTGGATGATGTCTGGAACCCTGCGTTCGGAGGATGGAATAATTATATTTTATCTATCATTACTCCGAGCATTGGGATAATAAATGTATCTTGGGATCCCTTAAGTATATGAATGTAAACATGCCAAAGAAGTCTATGCCATGCTAATGAAAGGTGTTGATGATAAAATGTTACCTCCAGGTCTTCCTCAGAGACTATCTCATCATCTATTTCTACCTCTTCATGATACGGAGTCACTTGGTTAGCTTTGATACAACACATCACAATGCTAGACATAATATACTCAAATATTGAGTAATTAAATGATCATATTTGTCTTTACTCAAATATCTTCTCTGCAGTTATTCATGTTTTATGAGTAGGATTCTAATCAAGATTTCATCTGTGCATTCACTCAAGTTTCTATAGTTTTGTTTATACTCAGTTTCATATTTGTGTTCACACTCAATATTCCATAGTTGTGTTTATTCAAAATTCCATAGCAGTGTTCACTCATTCAAGATTCCACAGTTGTGTTTAATCAAGATTCTATAGTGGTGTTCACACTCAATATTCCATAGTTGTGTTTATTCAAAATTCCATAGGAGTGTTCACTCATTCAAGATTCCACAGTTGTGTTTACTCAAGATTCTATAGTTTTGTTTATACTCAGTTTCATATTTGTGTTCACACTCAATATTCCATAGTTGTGTTTATTCAAAATTCCATAGCAGTGTTCACTCATTCAAGATTCCACAATTGATTTCATAGTTGTGTTCACACTCAAGATTCCATAGTTGCGTCTAGTCAAAGGTGTTAACGCAAGATTCCACAATTGTGTTTAAAGATTTCATTGCTGTGTTCACACTCAAGATTCCATAGTTGTGTTCAAACTCAAGATTCCATAGTTGAGTGCACACTCAGGATTCTACAGTTGGTTCATACTCAAATTTCCATAGTAACTGTTGCATTCACTCAATATTCTACAGCTGTGTTTATTCAGAATTCAATAGTTGTATTCACTCAGGATTCCATTATTATGATCATTTAAGACTCAACTGACTTTCTGTAAACTCAATACACTGTACTCCATTTCCATATTTTGTTTATCAAATGTCTACTTGATGTATGTGTCCACTGAAGCGTCTCTATTCAGCTTAATAATATCCAATATTTTTTTACTCAACTGTTCTTCTAAAGAGAACTGAGCACTCATAACATACTAAAATTGTACATAACTTGTATTTTCCTCTTGTGACTTCTAAGTTTAGATTAAAATTGTACTTCCTAAATGAAATCTCACTCATAACATACTAAAATTGTACATAACTTGTATTTTCCTCTTGTGACTTCTAAGTTTAGATTAAAATTGTACTTCCTAAATGAAATCTTTTATGTTATTATATATTTTCATAACTGAGATTGATCTCCATCTCATTTCCTTCACTCATTTCTTGAGGTACAAACCACTTCACTCATCCTTTATGATCCTAAAATGTTTACTTGAACCATCACTAACCTCCAAGTTACTCACTTATTTACATTGTTATTCAGCATGATTCTTCACTGAAGACATGTAATCCCACACTACATGGTTATCCTGTATCAACTCTCCACAGTATCAACTTCCTCTCCATCATTACAAATTCAACTTTCCTCTTATAACGCTTTACTAGCCTTTTAATCACAGTACAGTAATGTTACCTAGTTTTCATGTGTTATTTTTGGGTTTATGCACATTACTGGGCTTGTTTTGATAAAGGTAAAGTTTTAACCCTTATCGACTAACAACAGTGAGATTGCCAGGGTGTAAAATTGGTAACTGTAAAAATACTGTTGATAACATGCCACTGCAGTTATTAGTTCATTCATTTCTTGTATTTTTGAATAAATTCATCAGGGAGTAAGTCACACCCCTCCCTCTTATATTCTGTAGCATATGTTAGATATATTTAATACTGAGAATATTAGAGGGAAAATTCATGAATCATGACATCCCAGATTGGTTTGTCATACAACAGTTTATTGTTAAATCAATACATTTCTATTCTATCATTATCTGATTTAACATTTGAAACTGTTTATATGCTAAAAGTATGAAAAGCTCATTAAAATATTCTTCTGCATTTGTCAGGGGCGGATCTGGGAACCAATGAGGGAGGTGGCCCAAATTTCAGGTCTGATAAAAAAATGCCGAAAATGTTTGGGCCACTGAAACCAAAAAGTGTAGACTTTCTTCAAAAGGCCTAAAATTAAAGGCCTAAAATTAAAAAATAAGGTCCAGGTATGACCAAAATGCCCACTTTTTGGGGCCTTAGAGCCTTTTTTGGACAAAAACAGATCCTTGTTGAAGGCTACCTGAATATCATCACAACTTCAAACCCATACAAACAAAACAAAATTAAACATATTTTTGAAAATAGAAACAATAAACATTTGTTCCATAGGTTTGAAAATTGAAGACAACATTTAAAAATTCATACTGAGAAATTCAAATATTTTCCGATAGGCTAATCAAAAGTAATAAATGTACTTATTATTTTTTTTGTCAATTTAAAAAAATGTTGAACAATTTGTGAAAATTGTATCAAAATGGATGCCTTATGAGCATTTTTAAGTATTCACATATATAATATAAATAAAATCGCTTCATTACTTTTTTATTGGCCAATACCATTATAATATCAATGTTTTATCAAGTTTGACAAAAATACTGTAAAATCAAGCTTTTGAGCAAAACTTCTATAGCCATAGAAAGTGCATATCATGTCTATTAAATATGTTTGGAAATTAATTTGAAATAAAAATCTGACCATTGATTTTTGAGTTATCACCTCAACAGATGTTCTCTATATCCCCCACACAGTAATATGGGATGTAAAATAAGTGGTACAGCTCATATTTCATTGTCAATGGTAGACCAATATCCAATCTGATTTACAAAAATCCCTATCTTTTTTTCTAATGCTTGAGAAGGACACAGCCTGACTCCTTCAAGTAAAAAGAGAGAGAACAGGCTGTGGATCCCACAATGCAACTGCAAAATATCTAGCTTTGATTCAGATAAACCTAGAGATATATAGTAATTCAAAATTGCAAGCGACATTTACAATTCAGCAAGCCTTGAGTCTTGTTCCAGCCAAGACTGTAAATTACAATGTACTAACTAAATGTCCATCATCCAGTGAAATACTTGGTCCAAAGATTACGAATGAACTTTATAGAAATATTATTCCTAAATTGTTCCTGCCATACAATGGAAGATCAAGTTTTAATAATGGCAGCTAATATCCTCCTTGGGCAATACTAATTGAACAAGGCATTAACATGCAAAATATCACCACCTTCCATTTGTAACAGATGCCAACGACCATATGCTGTTACAGATACTGACTGCCAAAAACCATCAACAAAAAATTGGAGACTACAACAACATGTCAACACTTCTGATGGTGACATAAAAATAAACCTGACTGGTTTAAAACGAATTGAAATAGATTTACAAGTGAGCAACAAATGTCTATTCCAATGATAACATCCCAAAAATTAAATATTATCAAAGAAAAGGATAGAGGTTTCAAAACTTGTTTCGCAATATTCGTTAGCTCTCATCATTCGATGCCATGACTATTTCTGACTTATTTCAGGATATTCCTAAGATTTTTATGGTTTTAAGGAATTAGGACATTTCTGCATCTTAATTAATAAAATCCATGTTTGCTGATAATTTATCACAATTCTTTCTATTAAGTAAGATTGCTTCCAGACTTTAAACTCTCTATCCCTTTTTAGTCCTTTTAAGATTTGATAAGGCATTAACATCCAAAATGTCACTACCTGCCATTTGTTACAGACCTCAGTCACTGACAGCCATACATCAACCATCGAATACTGTCCATAAAAAAGTTGGAGACTATAATAATATGTCACTACTTTGGTTGTGACATGAAAATTGAAGAAATGTGTTATCTCTTCAAAATAATAAATATGTACATCCATCCAGATTGACACACAAAATTAAGACATAAGGCATAGGCCTAAATGTTTCCCTGGAACACAATTATCTACAGTATGAAGTTATGGGATTTTTGGGAAAAGGCATAGCAAGGAAGGATTCGTGGTAAATTTACATTAAAAAATGACACTTGATATATTTTTCTTTCTTAATTAAGACACACACTAGGCTATAAATGGGAGATGAATATATTTTTAGATTTTGGAGAATTTAACTTAGTAGGATTTTGATTCCACATGCCATCTGCTGAGCCCTAAGGATGTATAAAAGTCTACAATCCCAAATCAAATCAACTTCATATTAGAACCAAAAATTCCCACATTTTCCTGAAAAATAACCTCATAACTATTAATTCAAACTGATTTCACTAGAATATATAGTATAGGCTGTAAATGGCATGCTATTATGTTATCAACTTACCCAAGTCTAGGCAGTTGGAATTGGAGTAGATACTTAAATGTCCCAGTTGCAAATCTAACTTTAACACAAATCGAGTACACATAAAACCAATAAATAGTATTAGATTTGACCCATTTTACAAGTTCATGGCTTTGTTGGTTACCTGGTGATAATCCCAAAAGCAGGTTGTAAGACAGATTCTGATTGGCCAATATTATGTTACCTGCTACCTGATTGATCAATACAGCTCTTCTAAATGGAGGTGAATAAGTACATTGTATGAAAGTAACTTTTATACTGAATATAGATGTCTATTATGTGCATGGCAGAAATATTAATCCAATATGTTGATTGTGAACCAAACTCAGGGGCGTAGGAAGGTGTAAATGCAACACTACGCCAAAAATCCCGCCAAAAAAATATGAAACAATTGTGTCAATATTCTATATCAAAACGCCTATATTATGCTTGTAAAACGTCATTTTATGGTAACAGAGATTTTAAGCTTGCAATGTTTTTCACAACCTAAATGTGAACGGAAATACTTAAGCGATGCATTTATATGGGCGATTGGTCATACGTATAGGTTGGCGTTTCGATTTTATATGAAAGCTTTAAATCCCTGATACCTTTTTAATGTGCTTTAAAATGTTCGAATGATTTTCATCATTTAAAATCACCTTGGAAAGCCTATCTTTTAAATCTCGACACAAATCATTCTCATTTTGCAAATGTCTCGAACGATTGAGACGACCAATTTCCAAAAAACAATTAGAGATTTTTTAATCATTTTCGAATAATTGAATTAAGATATATAGTATTGTCTGATTCCATCGTGTACCGTGCAATACAATACGTACAGATTAAAGAAACTAGTTTGATCAATTGATATAAAGAAACGCATTCGTGATCAATGAAACAAATAAACACACCCACCACAAAGGTCAAATCGAGGTCAACGTGACTTAGTGGGTGCCAAAAATGTTATAAAACAAGAATCTATTATTTTTCAAATGAAAAAAATAGGTAATCGCTTTTCTAGAACTGAAATCAATGGAACGTGTAATTGAATAATCAGCATTTTCAAGTTGTTTTTGTCTTTAACATCCATATTTCAAAAAGTACTACCAATAACAATTAGTGATTTAGTAAGAAAATAGATAATTGTTGACTTAACTATAATTTCGTGTCTATGATTTTGCATAGCAACGGAATATAAATCGATAGTGAAAAATTGGGGTAGGGGAGAATAAAAAAATGTACATCTAAATTTAAAGAGGTTCATCATTATAATTATATGATACCATAGTTTGCATAAGCATTACGAAAAATGCAGAAAAAATGTCAAAGGTATTCATCAAGTAGTTTTTGAAAAAAAAATCTTTTCCTCTCAAATTCGTGAAGAGAACGCGATTCACGAATATTTGGCAAAATTGTATTCATAAGACATTCAATAGTGGCTCGATTTTCATGAAATAAAGCATGTTGGTAAGGGAATTCAATCTGTTAAATGATATCCACAAAAAATTTCTTTAGGCTAGTGTGCTCGAGATTACTTTTACAATTTATGAACAATGAGAAAATATGACTAAAGAACATTTTTTATTCTCACTTTTCAACACTACGCACTGGCGTTTTGGCGTACATTGTTCCTACGCCACTGAAACTGTCACATGTTCAAACAAATTTCAACAGTTTTGTTAAATAACATAAAGGTAAATGCTTTAACAAATTAATAAAGTGGCCCAAAATCACATGAAAAATGCTTAGAATCATGAAAAACTGCATGATTTTGAAAGCCTTCCATATTATTCTCTCAGTCCCTATCTTCATGTAAAGATGAACTTCTATTTTAATGATCTATGACTTAAAGGGGATAGGGAAGATATAACTAGATAACTGCAGCGCCAAGGGGTAGAAAAGCCCATCAAACATCTAATGAGTGTTGGACAACACTGTTTGAAATCATTTCGCAAAATGGCCACCATTATATAGATGAATTGCCAAAACATAATGTCTTGCATGTATTTACATATACATGAAGTGTAGAATGTCAACAAAATCGCTATTCGAGTTTTAACAAATAACGTATCAAAAATGAAATGAAATAAATATAACAAGGCATTAACTTGACAAAGTATCACCACCTAGTTGCTCACAATTTATGAGTTCAATATTAATGAATTTCTGAGAACTGATTTTTAAAAAAAAATTGGTCAATTTGAATCAGGCATTTTTTACCCTAAGAAGGTCAGTGAAATCTCAAATCTAAAGTCAGATTTTAACCTCCGAGAACTTGTAGATGATTTTGAAAAATTGGTCAATTTGAAGCAAGTTGAAAAAATTCCTTTTTGACCTTGAGAAGGTCATTGAAGATCAAATCTTTTTTGACCTTGAGAATGTCATTGAAGGTCAAATCTATAGTCTGATTTGAACTTTAGAGAACTTGTAGATCATTTGATGATTTTGAAAAACAATTTGGTCAATTTGAACTAAGTTGAAAAATTCTATCAGCACATAAGATGACAAGAGGGCCATGACAAGATAGCACATTTTCAAAGTGTAACTATAAAAATATAAAGCATATCTGAATGACCACCTTACTGTAGATACACTTATTTTGACACTACTTAATTTGATGGATTTACTCAATTTCAAATATTGGCGGCTATTTAATTTGGCGGATTCAGGACTGAAGTTTAATTGTTGTTTATGTATATGGCATTAGCACAGGTATTTACAAAGATATTTTCTGTATTTCTTTTGGAATAATGTAGAATTGATGACATGTTGACAGGAAGAGGCCCCAGAAGTTAATTTCTGAAGTGCAATGGACAAAAATTCCAAACTGAAATTTGATGGATTTTTTTTATTTTTATTTTCTGAATCAGCCAAATAATCTGTCAAATTAAAGAGGGAGCCAAATTAAGTGTATTATTCTGGCAGAAAGTTCAAAGCTAATCGTTTTCTTCGGATTACAATGTTTTTTTAACTTTTCAGCATGAATATAGGGTTGGGACCTCAAAACCACGGAATGCCGGAGCGGCACCCTTGGGCAACTCTCTACAAACCATTTCTTATACCCCCCTAAGAAAATCTACTGGGGGTACTATAAGACACCTTTATATATCAGACACTAATAAAGATATAGACTTGAAATTTTCAGGAATTAGTTTAAGTATGATGCTTAATCTGTATGGTGAAAATCAAGAAAAAATCTTAATCCGTTGCTATAGCAACAGTAATAGATCACTATTAGTTACCTTAGAAATGTATTATTTTGTGGGTTTTCAGCATTTTCTTCATATTCTTGATTCTTAAACTATCTTACTATCTGAAGCACATAGCATGATAAGAGGTGAAGATAAAATAATTCATCATATCATTTATGTAATATGTCTAACAATTCAGTTGCTATGGCAACATCACTTGATAATCAGGTTCTTACATTTCACTTTCTTTAATGAGTATAAAGGTGGTCCAAAGTAACACTTTTTCTAAAGGTATGTTCTCAAGGTAAAGAAGCTCTTTTAGAAGTAAATAGTCACTTGAATTTGTTAAAAATGTATATCTTTGAGTTGTCCCTCCCCACAGCCCCAAAAATGTGATGATTGGTGAAAACTGGCAAAAAACTTCATTTTCTAGGTTCAAATTAAAAATGCATTGGGATGCAACACTTATTGGTATTCAAGGAACATCTACTGACTTTGTCTGATATAACAATATGAAGATTTTAATTATTAGATGATGGGAAGTATTTTATTTGAAACATTTTAGAATCCTATCCCATAAAAATGTTGAAAAGAGGGTGTGGTCAATTTTACCATTTCACAGCATTTAAAGTTAGAAATATATACAAACCAAGGCATTAAAACATCTTCAAATGTTAAGTATATAGGACACTATATTTTATATGTTAATCTTGTATTTAGTACAAGTCTGAAATCCAATGCAATCATACAGTGGAGACTAGCAAGGTTTGCATACAATCCAGACATTGGAATCCTTTACAACCCATTCAGCAGAATCATTTACATTTTAGAGCCAGGGTTTTGAAAACTAGCTAAAATGTTTATTATTGAAAACAACTAAAGATGGCTTTCCATTGGTCAACCAAGCAGCAAAATGCATTAAGTCTGACCAGGTTTGCCATTGCTCACAGCTGCAAGTGTGACGTGTGAACAGTTACCACCAACATTTGGTTCTCAACATTCGTGGTTAGATCGTCAACTTGCCACTAACTCCAGAAAACACTTACTCAACATACAACCACTAACTCCAGAAAACACTTACTCAACATACAATAAACCAAAGATGCCACACAAGCACACTCACTCACCCAAAGATGCCACCTTACACGAGCACACTCACTCACCCAAAGATGCCTCCTCACACGAGCACACTCACTCACCCAAAGATGCCACCTTACACTAGCACACTCACTCACCCAAAGATGCCACCTTACACAAGCACACTCACTCATCAAAAGATGCAACCTTACACAAGCACACTCACTCATCCAAAGATGCCACCTCACACGAGCACATTCACTCATCCAAAGATGCCACCTTACATGAGCACACTCACTCACCCAAAGATACCACATCATACAAGCACACTCACTCACCCAAAGATGCCACCTTACACAAGCACACTCACTCATTAAAAGATGCCACCTTACATGAGCACACTCATTCACCAAAAGATGCCACCTTACACAAGCACACTCACTCATCCAAAGATGCCACCTCACACGAGCACATTCACTCATCCAAAGATGCCACCTTACATGAGCACACTCACTCACCCAAAGATGCCACATCATACAAGCACACCCACTCACCCGAAGATGCCATCTTACACAAGCACACTCACTCACCCAAAGATGCCACCTCACACGAGCACACTCACTCATCCAAAGATGCCACCTCACACGAGCACACTCACTCATCCAAAGATGCCACCTTACACAAGCATACTCACTCACCCAAAGATGCCATCTTACACAAGCACACTCACTCACCCAAAGATGCCACCTCACACGAGCACACTCACTCATCCAAAGATGCCACCTTACACAAGCACACTCACTCACCAAAAGATGCCACCTTATACGAGCACACTCACTCATTCAAAGATGCCACCTTACACGAGCAC